AATACAAACGATTTAAAAGAATAGTTTTCCAACCGGAGTTTTTTTCCGGTCAAGTACATACAAATGTGGATGCTTTCTAATTGCAATATCCCTAGACACTTTCATGCACACGGCGACACAAGTTGCATTCCGATTGTCGTAATCGTCGACGCAACACTATATATTCGTACTCAGTTCTAGGGCTACTGATCGGCTGTGTAAACTAGTGTTTTCTAGTAAAAATTAAAGTTAATAAGCATAGTGGCTTGAAAATAGACTGGCATTTGCGACGTGAAGTGGATAATCTTTTTTATTATTTAGATTTTATTATTTATTATTAAAAAATATAAGCACAGTTGAAAAATAATCCTAACCCTACCTGACATACGTATACATTAATACACACTTTGTTCCAATTGAATCGTGCACAACGTTACACTTTGTGCATTTCTGTGTACATATGTGTCAAGATGTGTTAAGCAATTAGAAAGCACCCAGTGTGATTTGGCCTTTACAAGATATTTTAGATAATAATGTGACCAATAAACTAGTTTTGTGTACGTGTGTATCAAGATATGTTAAGTAATTGAAAAGCACCCAATATGTACAGGGAATAGGAATTCGGATTGGTCAATTATTTCTATTCCCTGTTCCTATTGGCTAATGCTTATTTCTATTGCCTGTAGCCTAGTATTGTGCAAGGCCTGTAGCCTAGCATTAAGCGTCATTTTATCTTCTTCTCGCATGTAATGAGCGATAAAGATAGAATAATGCTTAGGCTGAGTTCCCACTGAGCACGTCATGCGTCGCGTCGTCTGCCTGCACCACGAGTTAACCAATCAAATCATTCCATTGGAACATGTGCGTCATGCGTCGCGCGCGCGTCATCCCAATTAAAGGATTTGATTGGTTAAGGGCCGTGGCACACAGAAAACTTAAGCAGTAAAATGTAAGCAGCAAGCAAATTGATCAATCACAGTCGTTGATTCTTCTTATGGTCCAAGAATCAACGACTGTGATTGGCTGATTTGCTTATTGCTTACGTCTTACTGCTTAAGTTTTTCTATGTGCCACCAGTTTAACTTGTGACGCAGGCAGACGACGCGATGCGTGATGCGCTCAGAGGAACTCAGCCTAAGGGTGCGTTCCTACTTAGCGCGTCACGCGTCGCGTCGTCCTTCGCGGACCAATCAAATCATCCCATTTTATTCGTCGTAAAGTTAGGCAATAAGATAGGACGATTTGATTGGTCCGCAACGGACGACGCGACGCGTAACGCGCTAAGTGGAAACTCAGCCTAATACTATCTTCAATAAGCGAACATCGATGTTTTCTAAACATCTATTCTTTTTGCTCATCCCTAGTGCAAAGGCCTTAACTATTCCGTTCCGCTATTTATTTCTTCATCTGAACGCACCTTTACAGTAAATAACGAAACGCAGCCTTCATGTGCGATGGGCTTTAACATTTCGAGGTGATCCACTTTTGAACAAACACGATTCAATGATCTAACCTCTGTTACAGCCATTTTACTTTGCCCTGCGTGAAGTGTCTTTACAGGCAGTAAGTCGTACGGTCTTAAAATTATTTTTTCTGTTTTCGTATATCCTGACAGTTAACCGCGAATGATAATGTAATGCGATCTCGATTACGTAATCGTGGCCACCCTCGCTTTGTGACCATTTTTTTTATCACACATTCTCCTTTTCGGCTTTGCTATCTTCATTATCAGTTAGGTAACACGCTCACGCACACAATATATCATTTCACGTATATCGTTTCGGAGCCAGGTACCTTCCGAAAGTTGACATTTCTTCGCAAAAATTACGAGTGTAATATAAAGGCGAATAAGTCGAATTCAGTTTTATGTCATGTGATAAATAATTGATTTCGGGACAAACGCTACCATAGTTAGATCAATACATGTAAAAATTATAGCGATGTGTAAAACATATGTATCTGTCTCGAATGACAAATGTGCTTTAACGAATAAAATTCCATTTATAAAAATTTAACAGAAATTGGGTATAAAAAATTACAAGGAATAAATTATTTAATGTTACTAGTACAGATAATAACAATTCTAAAGTAACAATTTTGTATATGGTCTGAAATAAATACTATTGTTATGCACATCTTTGCAAAAAGTATTAAGTAGAAAAGACCAGATATATATATACACACACATGTGTGTGTGTGTGTGGTGTGTGTACATATATATATATATATTGTAGGTAAAAATATTATAATTGTTTGATACAAAATTTGACCTAAATATAGATTGTATCTTTCAGGGAACAATGGCAGGCAGACTTTTAACAAATCGTTTGCGACCTGTGATGATTCAAAGTCGTGGATTACTTACAGAGGATAGAATTGGGAATAGGGATGTTGTGGGCTATGGCTACAATGGAGAACCTGCCTATTTGGACAGAGCAGATTTCCCGATGCCTGCAATTCGTTGGAAGGAGAATACTCCTGATATTATGGTAAGAAACAATAGAACTCAGGCCTGTATTAATAGTTATTACTTGGAATTTTTTTCAAGTAAGAATTGAATACAGAATTCAATGAGTTTTTCAGTTGAATCATACAATTACGGATATAACTGTTACATATAACTTAGGTCTAACTAAAATAAATAAAAAATTTGAATATTTTACATAAAACAAGTTTCAGGTGACAACTCTTAATGCAAGCCTCAGAACTCCCATGTAAATAATACATGGATTTACAATTATCAACCTGCTGTTGCTTTTGTATACAGGCCCTGAGAGAAAAGGAAAAAGGAGACTGGAAGAAGCTGAGCATTGAAGAGAAGAAACAACTATATCGTGCTAGTTTCCGCCAGACGTTCAGTGAAATGGACGCACCGACAGGAGAGTGGAAAGGCATCGTGGGAATGAGTATGCTGGTTATAACTTCCGGTTTATGGTTATACATGTATTTCAAAACATTCGGTACGTTCTCGATCGACGACATGACACAAACGTCGTCGGCACAAAATACAAGCCTTGTACCGGTTCGGACGAATTGTTAATCGTGACGTTATCATTTTCAGCCTACCCACCATTGCCGGAAACAATCACGGATCCAGAGCGTCAGTTGGCACAGTTAGAACGTATGAGGAAACTCGACATGAATCCGATCGAAAGCCCGATTGCTGCTATGAGAGAAAAATAATTAGTTTGTAACTTCAATAATTAGTAATTGTACAGTAAAAATCCATCTCTAAATATTGCGCTTAAACATTGTATGTTATAACTGGCATGACAAAATTTTAATAAATGCCATGGTAACGTGAGAACGCTATTTGACGTTAAAAAGTATTATTCGCTATTAAATCACGATACGGCTTGATGTGATATTACACTGTATTAGAAACGTTTAATTACATTAGAAATGCAAATGTAAACTACTGGATTGTGTTTGAATCCGATTGAGAAGAAAAAGGTAAGTAAGATTTATTTAATCTCTGTACATTTTTCACATGATCACTTCAAATTAGATGTATGTATACAAACTTATAAGTAGATAAATATATGTGTATATGTGTGCATATATATATATATATATATATATATATATAAAATATATATATACACACATATATATATATATATATATATACACACACACATATGTATACATATATATATACATACATACATACATATATATATACACACACACACACGTGTAAGTACAAATCGCTGCTGGAGAGATCGATGATTTCTAGGTCAAATTTAATATCGCATTGCCGCTATCTCCCCGCTATCTCACTTTCCTTTCTCCTCGAGCAAAGCTTGTTGTTTGAAAAAAAAGAAACGTTTATTTAAGCGCGACGGCAATATTATTGCAAATCACGAATTCAGTAATGCATATACGCTAATTAAAATACAATCTCCACGATTGTGAGACGAGTACGATTCTATAAACGTAAGACTGCATTACTGATCGCGTTACATCGCACATTACATTATTGCTTATTTAAAAATATATTCACACGGATATAAATACGATTATATATCAAAATTTTTGCAAAATACGAGGCTATTGTATTGCTATCGAGAGGTCTCTAAACGGTCTACCTGGCCTTATAAATAATAGCTGTGAGGTAAAGTCGCTTTCCTTAAAGTATACGAACAATGAGAAATAATTAGGATCAGACATCGGCATCATTCATATTTATTAAACTCTTTTTTTTTTTCTTTTTTTTCCTTTTTTTTACAGAAATTCCAATAAATCGGGAAATTCGATAAATATGAGTGATTACGAAGTTTCCTTATCAAACTCTCAATGATTACGAAATTCTGATATTTATAAAAAACACGTTATTTGCTGAGGATCACTAAGCGCGATGATAATAGTTACATAGTTTTAAAAATGTAGTATGGCTTTTTATAATGCTCTTTTTACAGTGTAACATTTAAATTATATATTTATATATATTTATATATATCTTCTTAAGCAATTGACAATTTAATTATTAAATTCAATCACAGCATACAATATTACATTACGAAAGAGTTTTAAGTTAAACAATACACGGAATACTGGATATAAGAGTGTTATATAATTTAAAATGACTCAATCAAAAACTACACTTCTTCAAATCCCGTGGCTAAACTAAAATTTTTACAAGGGTAATCTTTACATCGCACATTAAAAATTGTTGAACACAAAAATGCAGCTGCACCAGAAAGAATTGTAATCTGACATCATAGTTAGAAATTTGTTGCAGTAAACGCTCTATTCTCTTTTCTTTCGCTCTTTCGTTTTCATTAGTTATTGCGTCAACGGAATGTAATATTCGACAATGAACTACACCTACCATGATCGACAAAACGTAACATACGGAGCTTTTAAGTAATGTCAAGGCCTTTTCACGTATTGTCATATACATAAGTTTCATCAAATGCAATGTAAGATTCATAAATATCAGATTCCTCATTCTCTTTTTTTTTCCTTTCATATAATATAAATGTGTACTTTTTAATTATCTGATATAAAAATAATATATCATTGTTCAGGAAATATCGGATAAGAATTACAAACTAACATTAAGAAATTAACATTTCTATACAAAAGAGATAGCTAATTTGCAAGAAAGTTGTTGCTACGAAACAGACTGCCAAGATTCGAAGCGTGTCATCACTCTCTGTCAGTATAAAATAAGCTAGAGTTTTTAAAAAAATTTTTAATCAAAATTTTATTATTTTTTTTTGCTTTTTTTAATCACCAGCACATGAATCTGCAATTTTATTAAAATCTGAAAAAACATACCAAAATCTTTCAACAACGATACTGAATATACGTTTGATAGAGAAAAGAATAATATAGAAAAGAAACAGTATTCACTCTTATAGATATGGCTTTATCCGCGAATTTGTATGATAAAATCACTGTAACAAACACTATTTTAGATAATTACAAAAAAAAGATTTTGTAGGTAACTCTTCGACTTATTGTTCTATGTTTGATGATGTATATTACAATATTTACAATAGGTAAGTCCCAATATCACCGAATTCGCTGTCACACACCCCCTCGTTATAAGAATATAGTTTCATATAGAAAACTAAGTTTTTGTTGTCACTATCTCAGCGTGTTTCACAGTTTTGTGTGAAGTTCCCGAGAAAAATGTACCGCAACTAATATCGGTGTATGTACGTTTCTGTGTATGAATGTGTACGTGTGCGTGTGTGTTGTGCGCGCATATGTATAAATGTAGATGTGTACCATTTGTATTATATAAATGTATTACAATACGTTTAATTATGGCTGTGAACACAATTGCTATTCGAAGATGGCAATAAGAATTGTCTGACTTCGTAAATGATAATGTTGAAGAATGTTATTATACTTGTTTCTGGGTACCGTTTATATTATAGCCTGTGCAATAAAAGTGAAGTATAAACGGAGATCCTATCTCGATTTGCGATCAAAAATTCTGTACGTCTTTCTTTGGTATGTAAACGTTCGTACAGAGCAAAATATATAATTCTGGCAAATTGAAAAAAAAAGAAATCATATATATATAGTTACTATTTGGGCATTCTTGTCTGCGCAAGAATCGTAACATTTCCACAAACCATAAGCTCTCTTACTCTTTCTTCCTTTCTCCCTCTTAGAATCGTGGACATTGTGCCCATACTGTACATAGAGTTGAAAATAAAAGAAGAGTCGCGTAGAATAATTCAGTTGTTATATGACCGACGATAATCGCTGTCTTTCTATCACACAGTTATGATATTGAGCTCGCTACTTAAGTGACGGAAGTAATGTCCGAAATTATCGCGCACGTTTCATCACCGTACACAATCTCCGGTCCCACGCTGCATCGTACATTGTTTCTTCCTCTTCACTGTGTTTTGCCTAGAGCTTGGACTGTGACTAGTATTGTTGTTATTGTTGTTATTGTTGTTTCCGTTACTGTGTGCATGCTTGGTCTTATTTTGACCGGTTATATTGTTATTGATGCGATGATGAATACCTTTGAAGCTCTGTTGGTGATTTGCTGCAAGAAACGTTGACAAAATGACAAAGTGAAAAAAATGCGTAGCGTATGGTATATATTACCTCATACAACAGTCATTTGCGAAATATGTTGAAATAGATAATAGATGCAGTATTTGTATTAGAATCATTTGATCGTCGTACCATAGATGGTTGCCTTGAACGCTTTCCTTCCCGGATAATGATGGATTTGTTGATTATTATAAAAGAGCCTATCTTTGTTTTTGTCGTTGTCGTTTTTACCGCCAGTATTCGGAGAATTGCCACGGCTACATTCAGAGTCCTTAGATAAAATAAAAAAGTTATAATTAAAAGATCTTATTTATTTGAGAATGCACACTTATAGCATTGGCAATTTATTAAGCTATTGCAAGATATGAAATAAATTGTTTGATCTAGAAATATTTCGAAATAGATTCAACTCTTTTATATACTCTACTTATTCTAATTTTTATATACTACTTATTCTTATTCTAAGTTTTATATACTACTTATTCTAATCTATGATATGACTTTTACCGTATCACTGGCGGGTGCTGAAAGAGTGGATGCGTCAGAACCAGTTGAGCTTGATAGAGAGTCTCCTTCGCTTAAAGGTAGTAGGAATGTTTCTTTAATCCATCTACGGTAATCTATCACTTCGTCGGTCACACGAATTATTCTTCCCAGTATGCTACGTACCAATAAAAGTGTCGTTTGTTTTAAACATCGGTAATAAGCAATCAATACAAGGATAACGACGCAGATTAAGGCAGATGTAGAGATTCTGTCAGATGATCTTACCTTATTTTACTGGCGTCATTGACTAAAATATTTAAAGGACTGACTGCTTGAGAAAGGACGAAATAGGCCCAATCAAATGCATCTTTTACATATAAAGCACCATAACTACTGCGACCGATATCGTTGCCGGGTGTGAGTGGATCTTCTATGCACAAGAGGGATGGGCGATGACCATCTATCATGTCTCGCTGTACCTGTCAATCAATTAGCGTAGGATCAGTACCGTATCGCCTTCACGATGATTATAACGACTATTATAACGACTACAGTGTTACTGTAATGCAAGTATAAAATTGTTGTAAAGACCTCTTCTTTGGATATGTAAGTACCGCCGTCCTTCACACGTATGCCAGTCTTAACATAATTAAACTTTCTACCATATAGCTCTAGAAATTCGATTAGCAATACTCCTAGGTTAGCATTTGAACAGTAAGCATTTTGCCTCGGATGTAGCTAAAAGATAAAAAAAACTCGTTTAACTCGATAAAGAAAATTGATAAAGAGAAGATCCGTTTCTCGTTTACGACAACTTACTTGTAAAAACTGATGTACTTACTTGTAAAAAACTAATGGTCATGAGTATTAAACTGTACGACGATATACCGCCGGTAAACACTTCGTTAAGATCTCTCTGCAGTAGGAATTGCTTCAACACCATGACTAGTTTCTCGAGTACTGGGTATTGCTTCTTGAAAGAATTTATTAATTCCGCAGATTTGACGCCATTGCTCATATTGAAACTGATATCCACTTTAACCTCACTCTCTTTGTCAGTTAGTTTGACGATCGGCACGCTGGCCTTATCCAACACTTTAATAGAAGATGGCTCAGCAATATTTTGATCTAGTAAAGCACGTTCCAAAGTACGTAATGGAAGATTTCTCCACATTCCTATCACTACCAAATCTACGTCACTGCAACGACAGAATATTTTCATGAGGACAGAAAGATATATCTTGCAAATGCCATGATTCTCTAATTGTACATTATTGATGTATTATTATTGATGCTTCTAGACGTTTATTTATCCCAAAAATTCACCACTTAAATATTTAAATATATATAAAAAAATATTAATAAAAATATATATAAAAATATTAATAAAAATATATATAAAAATATTAATAAAAATATATATAAAAAATATTTAAATGATCTGATATTAAAAAATTGACCAATCTACAAATAATAATTGCTTGTCTAATATCATGTTGCAATAAACAAAAACAAAATGAGTCATCATTTTTATCAAGTTAGTTATTATGATGATACATGCAATAATATGTGCGACAGTATGCAATAATACATACCTTGTAGGCAAATATAAACCAGTGCGAAAACTGCCAAACATCTCAACTTTAGAGTCTGGCCAAAGATCATAAATTACATTTTCTATTTTTTTTACAACTCGCAATCTTAAAACATGTTCCTCGTATGATGGACACATGTATGTAAAGAAATCTTCTATCTCTTCATGTAATCTAAACAGAACATATATTTATTCAATGTACAATATTTCCAAGAATTAGGTTTTTAATATATTTTTAAGGCATTCTTTTCAGGTATATAAGCTGAAGCAATAAAATACATACATATATTTGAGGCATGTATCTTAAGTATTCTCTACCATATATTTTAAATATTCTACCATTTATTTAAAGTATTCAAATAGTAACATTATAAAACATTAAAAGAATAATACTTAATGTAATAAATGATATTGATTGCACACAAAGAATATATTGGTTGGTTTTATAAACATTTGAGAAATCACATGTTGTGTAATTCATACGTTGTATTTGTATAATTTGAATAAATGCTTTTCTACACATATATAAGTTTAGCACAGACAAATAATGCTAGCAAAGTTAATGAAGAATGTTGCAATATCATTTTGGTACTTTACCAAAGGTAAAGGTATTCAATAATTGTGTGATTTATAATATTCATTTAATCTTGTCCCTTTATGTACTTATAGGCCAAAATAAAGTATCTCTTTTCAGAAATCATACTGCCAAATATATGAAATGTTTACAATTTTTTTCACCCTGTCTGCCAGCTTATTGTTACAACAACATAGCTTCAAACTTTTTGCAGACTACGACTTTATTTGTAAACCTTCGTAAACATTTTCGTCAGATTTCACATTAGGCTCTCGACGACACAAAACTCTCGACGACATTTAAATCTCAATATATTAATATATTACATGCCCCAAGTAGCCGTTTCCGGTCGCTTGTTCTTCACGTGTACGTACGCATCGTCTCGAGTGTTGCACGATCTCGAGATACGTGCTCGGTAACATTGAAACAGCCTCTACATTCGAACAACGAATCTAACCTAACCTATGTGATACGGCCATATGGGCCATGAGATGTTCCGGGTACACGATGTGTATTAAAGCCGCAATACTTACCCGATCACACCTTTGGAATAATGCTTATTCGACATCCGCCAAGGACAGCCACCATATTCGCCCACTAGGGCGTCGTAATTGTAATTCATGCCGTAGGTGCTAGCTCGATTGTCGCTTTTCCTGCGCGATGGGTTATAGTAACTGTTGCAACAAGCATTATGAGGCACACGATGCTCGCCGTTGCTTGCGGCGGTGGGGACAGAGCGGCCGTTGCTGCCGTTGCCGCCCACATTGGCATTGCCGTTGCCCATACCGATGCCGATGCCGCTTCCGAAGCCTGGGGCGGACGACGGCGTGTTATTGGTGCCCGTTCCAGTACCGCCAGTGCCGGTTGCCGTCGAGCTCGTCGTATCCAGCGCAAGAAAGTCTTGCTGCAGCCGCACGCCCATCGTGTTTGCGGGGTCGTTACGCAGGGTCAGTACGTCAAGGCCCTTCTCGGCCTCCCAGATGTGCAACCACAGATCCTTGGCGGGGCCGTATTGCTCCGGTTGGTACCAACCGATGGTCGGATCCATTAAATTGGCGCCCGGGACGGGGGGGATCCGCAGGTCTCCTCCGTGCGTGGTTGTGTGCTCCGTGTGCGCCTATGAATGTATGTATGTATGGTATACGTACGTATATATATATATATAATACGTATATATATATATATATATATATATATATATATATATGTGCTGCACGAGTGCGTGCGGAGTGTATTAGTCACGCGTTCCTCTCGACGCCGTACGTGCGTGCGTTCGTTCGTTCGTTACACGCGTTCGCGTGCGTGCTCGCGAGCGTGCGAGCGGGCAGGCGGACGACGGACGGGCGGGCGGGCGAGCGGTCGGTCGGTCGGTCGCACCACACACACACCACGTCGCGTGTCACTTTCCGTCGCGCGCGCCGCTCGTTCACCCGGCGGATTCTTCTCCTCTTGTCACTCTCAAGTGAACTCTTAACTGTCGCGTTTATCGCGCACCGTATCGTTCGGTCGATCGGTCGGCCAGTCGGTTTATCGGCTGATCGGTCGTAACCTGCGAGACACTAAACTAAACGAGATTTATACGCACACGGTCGAGAAGCACGACGACGATCCGAGCGCGAGCCCGAGAGTCGCCGACGATTCCCGATTAAGGCCACGGGGACAATTTTCGCGAGGGAGAAAGAGAGAGAGGGAGATTGATCGCACAGCGTGTCGCGGCGGTCGCAGAACCAGTTCGCGCTCCAGTTCGCGGTACGTGGAAAAGCGCCCATCGCGCCTACCACCTCGCTAGGGTGGTTGGGAATCGATCACTTCATATTTTCCCCTGAACGCAGTCATTAGTATATTCTCAAGAGACAATGGCAAATGCCAATAATCGTCTTCTCCTAGCGTGGACGCGTAAAGAGTGGGGAAAATTCTATTATTTTCAAATGACAAGTTTATCGCTCTTTGCGAGTTTTCACGCTAGAGAAAAAGCATTAGTGATCGAAACGCTGCGCGTGCGCGCATTTGAGCGAACTTTGCAGTAGAGACGCGCGAATCCTCCGTCATTGGCAGTACGTTCGTTATTGCGCGTGTCGCACCGCTTATCGTGCATTCGCGCGAACTTTGTAAATTCATGACATTCGACAGTTCGCAACAGCTTGTGATAGTTGCCTTTGCGGTGTTAGGTTAGATCAGGAGGATGTTGATACGCGTATGTAATTGATTTGAAATTTGCAGGTTATGCATTTAGTGAGGATCCGATGAAGAAGAACGTTTTGTGTGAATCGTCGTCGATTGATCTTCACATGTGTGGTAATGGCAAAGTTGAGTAAATTTATTCCTAAAATTGTACGCGGGTTCGTGCAATGTGCATGCGTGACGTACTGCGCGTACGAATACGTTGGAGATATTATCATGGTAAGTTTAATAGCGCGATGTGTCGTTACGAAACGGCCCACATTGCAATATCTGACATTTTGTCTTTCTGGCATCGTTGGATTTTACTTTCGAAGCTCCACAGTATTCAGGATCTTTTGTAGATCTTTGTTTGTTAAAAAGTTATGATATTCTCACACAGCAACTTTCATTTTAACTAAGGACGATATACGATATAATAGAAAAATTTATACCATGTAGACAGCTTTTTTTATTTATAGATAAAACTACATCATCCTGTTGTGTATGTATACCTTGCACCAGTTTGGTTTTAGAATACAATTTGCTCAAGTTTTCATGCGTTACAGTGTGCTGGACCATCTATGGAACCTACACTATATGCCAATGATATATTGTTTGTGGAACGAATATCTGTGAGATTGCAAAGACTCAACAAAGGTGACATTGTTATTTCTAAGTGTCCCTACAATCCAAAGGAAAATATATGCAAGCGGATTGTAGGTTTGCCAGGAGATAAAATTAGGAATGGTCTTAGTGTAACAACGGTAAGTTTTCAATGACTTTGTGTCTCTTTAGTGGAGAATTTTACATATCATTTTGCTTGTGATTTACTTTAGTTCATTGTATTACTATAGGTTATATAATCAAGTAAAAAATTATTCAAGATTACATATTAATTAATAATATTCTTTTAGGTACCTTATGGACATATGTGGTTAGAGGGAGACAACAGCAGTAATTCAACAGATTCTCGGATATATGGACCAGTACCTCAAGGATTATTGCGTGGAAGGGCTTTATGTAAAATATTCCCATTCGGTGATATAACTTTGTTCACAACGAAACACATGACCTAAATTGATCATATGTGCGTGATATAGATATCTATTTTTATCAACAAGATATTGATGAAAATATCCAGTACATTATTTCAGTTAAATTACAGTCCCTGGTTGTGGTTATAATTGAGTTCCTTGGAAATTCTTTGGATAGTTATTAAATTTGTATAAATTTATTGTTCCTTGATATCTCCAAGAGAAGATGCATGTTTTACTTATTAAGATCTGATAATATAAATTTATTATATATTTTGAAATGTATATCATGCAAAGGATCTTTTTTAAGTCATCTGCTTGATATTTGTAAGTTATCAATTTGAAGAGCAATAAATTGTACATGTTATTTTTTTATAATATACTCCATGTCTACATATTTTTACTTAAAGTTGTATCTAGACATACAAATTAATAAAAAAATTTTTTTTATATGTAGATGCGAAAATAAACGATATTTATCCAATCACTGGATTCAAATTTTACAAAGAGTTTGTATACTCTTTGACGTAATTTTTGTAACAATGGCAATTACACTTGTAATGAGATCGTCAGAAATCATGCATGAAAGTACATAATAGCATGCTACGAGAGCTACTAACTTCCTTTATAACGGTCTTTAAACTGTCGCGCGTTAGCAATTGAATGTATTTCAAGGTTGATTGAATGTCAACGAGCTTGATAGCGCAAAGCGATATAAACAACGGCCATTTGCGGAGCGGCCAGTATACTCGAGTGTGCTGTAATAAACGTTTCGCTATCACAACGACGTGAGTATTTTCTTCCTCGTGGGTACTCTGATATAAATACTTTGATCACAGATACTGTGGAGTATTCGCTAGATCGTTTGTTGCAATGATCGTTTTCTTGTTTCTCTATGCGGCGACTTGTTACCGTGTATTTCTGAGAAATAAATTTTTCTTCTGCCCGAGTGCAATGATCGTTTGAAGGTTAAGTTGGCACGTATTATGTTTTACGTCATGTAAACATAAAGATAAAACACCGGTTGCATGGCAACTGATTTATTGCTTTATCATATTGAGGACAATTCGAAGATTGAAATTGAGAAAAAATTCGTTTTGCGATCGTGCATTTCACGTTGCTTAGGTTGTGTTCCAAAACATCCTTTTTGAGGAAATTTTACTCGAGACTCTATAATTTATGTAACGTGAACTGTAAAGGCCTTTACTCGTAGAAAAATTTTAACCGTAACCGTAAGATCGAAAGAAAACTGACCAATCACAGTCGATTATTCTTCGAACGCAAGGAAAATAATCAAATCAGTTTTCTTACGACCTTACGGTTATGGTTAAAATTTTTCTACGTACAAAGGCCTTAAGTATTGAATAAAATTTTCCTAAAAAAAAAAAAACGTTCTGGAATGCAACCTTAGTAAACTCTAAACTTGAATACACGTGTATTTTAAACGTGAATTTTAAACGTGTATTTTAAACTTGAATACATGTGTATTTTAAACGTGACGTACACGTTTAAACGACACGTAGTCGAGACATTAGTCATAACTGGGATAAATTCGAATCTGTACTTTGTGAAAATGACCCCTGAATTAACTCGTAACGATAACGAAAAACGTGATTTCGCCGAGTCAAAGATCAAACTCAGCAAAATTGTATTTACAACTTTCCAGAATAATATAATTCGATTGAACGACCTTTCAGAATGTCAGATAACATCGAACTATCAGTTATGTAAAATTGTGTAATCTCTTGAACGATTATCGTTTGCGAAGCTTTATCTATTACGTTCTTCATATGTGTCACATAATACCTAAATAGAAAATATAGATCGCGAAAGTAAATTTTTTATTTGTCAACTCCGTGGGCACCGTTACGTTTCTCGATTTTTTTTTCCTAATAGGACAATGAACTAAATGCATATCGGTTTGTAGCATTAAATTCGTCGGCTTCAAAATCTTGAAAGACAATTATTAACACTGTCGACAAATAATCATTTTGCCATTTTCCAAATTATTATTTTATTATTTGTTATTATTACTTTTTCCAAATATTCTACAATCTCCGTCGCTGCGTTCCCTTTTCCTGTTCAATTTTATCGAGGAGAAACGAGCTCTTATGCACGTTTTTACCAATGTCGAGCCCATATAATAAGTTCCGGCTTAACCGCCGTTAAGGCCATCACACACAAAATTCCGTAAGAACTTAAATCGAAAAGAAATCCACCAATCCTAATCGAGTATTCGGCTCTTCGTAATAATGAAGGCGTTACTAAGAGCCGAGTGCTCGATTGGAATTGATCGATTTCTTTACGCTTACGTTTAAAGTTCTTACGGAAAATTTTGTGTGCGATGGTCTTTACGTTGGGACATATCTGAACAAGTTTAGATCTGTGATTTTTGAAATGTTGTCTTGGAATCTGCCAAGACCTTATTCATTCATATCCCTTATAACTCATATCCCTTATAACTTATTCTTAATACAAATGGTGTCAGGGCGAAAATCGTGAGATTGTCTAAACCAACAAGTGAACCTGAACCTGAACCTGAGCTCATACAGCACAAACCTTCAAAGGATATTCTAAAGATATTCTAAGGACATTCATACATTCTAAGAATGTTCCAGAACATTCTCTGAAGATTTTGTGCTATCTGGGGAGTAAACCTTAACTCAAGGTTAAGCATTTATCCGAGTAGAGTTTAAACTCAAATTAAGGTTTAATCAATATCAGGTAGAAACGGGCATTAGAACGGCATTAGAAACGGGCATTAGAACGGCATTAGAAACGGGCATTAGAACGGCAAAATGAAATTTCCTTTCTTTTCCTTTCTTTTCTTTCCTTTCTTTTTTTTTCTTTCTTTTCTTTCCTTTCTTTTCGAAGAAATAAATGTATACAATAACACAATATAATGCACAAAATCCCATAAATATTCAAAGAACGTTCTAAGGATGTTCTAAGGACATTCATACATTCTAAGAACGTCTCAGAACATTCTTTGAAGATTTTATGCTGTCTGGGATAACGTAATATCGATGCATCACGATAACGTGTTATTATATTGTTAAATAATATGTTAATCAATTAACATATTATTTTGATATATTTTGATATTATTTTGATTAGATTGGTGGAGATGGCTACTCGATGGGGCATCGTCAGCGCTGGCAAGATCTCGCATGATTTCGTTACGGCGATGAGCAGTTTACCGAGTGACGAACACGTCGTAGTGGCTGTTGCGGCGCGAGATTTGTCTCGCGCGGAAGCTTTCGCGAAGGAACACAATATCCAGAAGGCCTACAGTGATTATGAACAGTTGGCCAAGGATAAAGACATTGGTATTTGATAGTCATGCGTAGATACTCAGTAAACAAAGTATATTAGATCAACATTTTGATCGATTAATAACGAATGCCTATAACTGCAGAAACATTTGAGCTCTGTAAAGCATGAAATTTCCATATACATCTAGGGTTGCATTCGAAAACGTCATTTCCGAGGAAAATTTTACTTTTAAGTCTATAGTATATGTAACATGAACTATAGATTTAAGAGTAAAATTTTCCTCGAAAAAGATGTTTTGGAATGTAACCTCTCTCTCTAGATAAAGATGTTTAAACATTGTTTTTGAATTGCTATAAAATTATGGCAGCAATGGTTATAAAAATCTATTTCAATATATATATATATATGTTTCACATTGAATAATTTTCAAAAGTAACCCAGACAGTACAAATGTTCAACAACAGCAAAATCGAATCATAAGACGTCTTTAGAACGTCTTTAAGATATCTTTAAGACAATAACTTACCCCTTGTCCACAACCTTACTTTAATCTTTAAGCCGTAATAAATTGACCAACCACAGTCGATTATTTTAAATTAACGACTTAAGGCTTAAGAATTAAAGCAAGGTTGTGGACAAGGGGTTATAAACTTGTCTTAAAGATGTTTTAAAAATGTCTTATGACCCGATTTTGGACATTATGCTATTTGGGAATATCTTTAACGGCTATTTCCAGCGAGCAAAACAACTCGTGTATCAGAAAATACTGTATTTATTTGTATTTTCAGAGATTGTATACATTGGCACGATACATATTCAGCACTATGATCTAGCTATGATGATGATGAGCGAAGGTAAACACGTGTTATGTGAGAAACCGTTGACGATGAGCTTGGCGGACACAACGAAATTAATCTCGTACGCGAAAAGCAAAAATTTGTTCTTGATGGAAGGAGTATGGAGCCGTTGTTTTCCTATCTACGATATCATAAAGAAGAAACTCGCGGAAGACCATATCGGCGATATTCGTCATGTGATCGCCAGCTTCGGTTTTGACCTTAGTGACGTCGATCGGTTAAAGTTCGTAACATACAGTAACAATAATACATGTATTAGTAGAATAGTCACAGCATATTTCAATGGTGATTAGAATGTCTTTTACATATTTATACTGTTCAGTATAATATTAATTGTCAATCATGTGTGTTAATCATTTTCATAATATTAATTATTAATATTCAGAACAATTATTGTGTGTGTAGTTGTAGTTATCAAGTTAGAAGATATCAATTGTTTGTATTATTAATAGTAGTTTTACCGATGATTGAATAAGTATTAATTAATTCTTCATTCTTATTTAATTGTATTATGAAATTTTTTCAACGATTCTTCCTCATTTCAGCAAAAAAAAGTTGGGCGGCGGCACAGTCCTGGATCTCGGAGTTTATTGCCTTCAGTTCGCATCCTTGGTCTTTAATAACGAGATGCCGGAATCTATAAAAGTCTCTGGCATCTTGAACGAGGATGGCGTCGATGTATACGTGACGGCCAGTCTGTATTACAAGGAACAGCGCACCGCGACCATTATGACAAGTGGACTAGCGAACCTACCGAACAATGGCTACATATGTGGCACTAAGAATATGATAGAAGTGCCGTCCCTTTGGTGCCCAACGAAGATAACTATAGGGGGAATCACCATAGAAAAACCTCTGCCGCAAATTCCAAATAAAGATGCTAAATTCAACTTTGTAAACTCTGCTGGACTTGCTTATGAGGCTTCAGAAGCTCGTGCTTGCATTCAGAAGGGTAAAGCTGTAGATGCATCTTAAGCCCGATTGCACCGACATTACTTCGTCTTTGATGATAAAGATAGATACATGTTTAAGTTTCGCTTAAAGTTTAAATAATATTGGTGTAATTAAACTTTAGTTGCAACTTTTTTTGAAATTAGGGTTTTTCAATTTGGAAATCAAAAATTGATTGAAGAATATATGTGTATTATAATATATTAATACAAATTTAACTTTTCAGGTTTGATAGAAAGTCCGAAAATGACACACGATACATCTTTATTATTGGCGAAATTGGAAGAAGAGATTATTAAAGCAATAGGTGTTAAATATTGATTATTAAGAGAAAACTTTCCATCAGAAAACTTTGTATTACTATTAAGGATATTTTTTGAATTTATAATATTGTTTCTTATGAAGATCAGTATGCATAGGAAATAAAAATGTTTTGTGTAACTTATTGTGTATATTATTTCAATCAGTTTCTATATATTTAAACGGTATATTTATTTCACGTTTATATAAAGACGCGCTCGATTAATCGATGTCGACGGTTCGATTTCGTACACTACAAAAGAAGGCACATCGTAGAACGCTGTTTCCTGTCAAGGGAATCAGCGACACTGCTATCCTTCCTTCCTTCCTTCAATATTTGGCTAGAGGCGCATCCATGACTCATACCCCAACGTCATTACTCATACGACACTGCTATCGTACGGGATAATAGGAAACTATGGGCGCGTTCAGCGGAAAAACGCTCAGTGAGCAATCAGCGATTATTGGTTCTTACTGTTAGATCCCTAAATCTAGACCAATTACATTGACGAATTGCTCAACTGTTGTACAACTGTTGAGTTCACTAAACGCACCTTATGGCTGCGTTCAGAAAACAGCTGATTAGTGAGCGGTTAGTGATTATTGGTCCTTACTGTTAGATCCCTAACTTTAGACCAATTACGTTGACTAATTACTCAACCGTTGTGTAACCGTTGTCTCCTGAACGCAACCTATGCAAACAGGCGAAAAGATTGTTGGGGTGAGAGATGTTCGTATGACGAGTTTACCGCGTAAATCTCTTACAGTAAGAAACAAGAGGAATTTATTATGGAGATGCTTGAAAGTACGCGCGTATCACCGCGAGTGTTCACGGCAATACAGAATGTCGACATCATGGAGCTGTCGTTGTGTTCACATAAAGATATCAGGCCCATCTTACCGTGTTTGGTTAGAATGAGTCTTATCTCTCCGCTGGACATAACGAGGGAATGTGTAGAGGGCAGAAAACAGGTACTCACGATACTTTCCGGCATCGAATCCGTTAACTCCATTATAGCCCTCTTGTCTATTGACTTTCATGCGTTGGAAACTGACGTTAGAAAGGAGCAGCAGTTAAGGTTAGGATTTGTACATGTGCCACTTGATTAATACATCCTTCACGCGTTGAAGCTTTCATAGCTTCGATATTTGTCACTGCAGTGCATTTTGGAGTGTATTTCAACATGAAATCTTGCTTTCCAGACAAAAAGGAGGCAGCACACATCGAGAGAGCGTGCTGGCTCAATCCTTGCAGAGTGGCTTGGCTTTGGAATTTGAGCGCAGCGAATCCACTCGCAGGATCAGACTGGTGTTGTGTGAGATATTGTTTATAGCAGCTCAGATTCAAGAGCTGCAGAAGAATCAGGAGTTTCAGATCAAGCAATCAGATTTGTTCGACAATGCTGTCTATATGGAGGAGATCAGTTATGTCATCTGTATAGCACTGGCAGAATTACCTACTTTGCTGTCTATACTGGATATTACAGAGACTCTGCTGCACGTGAAGCATGGCCCTGATATTATCTGTTGGATAGTGGCCAACAGTCCAGATAGCTTCTCAGAGGTATGCACTCACTTGATTGCCAATGGTGAGAGGCAGGAGGAATCGGCATTGGGTCGAATCAGGACGCAGACCCTGACGATGTTGTGTCAGATGAATCCAAGCCAAGCACTGGCAATCAGAGCCAAGTGCGTGGAGCTATGCAGAATGCCAGCATTGGCGATTGCTCTGAGTCTCGAGCACAAAAGCGTGGACAATCCGCAGCAACGCGACACTGAGAGCGACGTGGTCGCTTTCGTGTCTGGCCTCTTGCTAGGTAGCGATCAGCAGGTGCGCTCATGGATTGCGATGTTCATTCGCAACGGTCAGAAGCGGAAGTGGGAGTCGCACACGGCGTTGCAGGCTCTGCGGGAGGAGCTGCTCAAACGACTGCAGACTATTGCGTCGCAGAGCACGGACGGCCAGCTGGCAGAGTCTCAGGTGGTGCAGGCTAGCGCATTATTGAGGCTCTACTGCGCTCTACGCGGCATCGGCGGCATCAAGTTCCAAGACGACGAGGTGGCGATGATAGTACAGCTGTTGACATCGCATCCACCGCCGTCACCTGCCGGCGTTCGTTTTGTGTCATTGGGCCTGTGCATGTTAATAGCCTGTCCGTCGCTAATCGGTCATCACAATCTCGAGAAGCGTAGTATCGAATGGGTGCAATGGCTAGTTCGTGAGGAGGCTTACTTCGAGAGCGCCAGTGGTGTCACAGCTAGTTTCGGCGAAATGTTGCTGTTGATGGCTATACATTTCCACAGCAATCAGTTGTCAGCAATTTGCGAGTTAGTGTGCGCCACTTTAGGTATGAAGATACCGATTCGGCCGAATAATCTCACGCGAATGAAACAGATTTTTATGCAAGAGATTTTCACCGAACAGGTAGTAACGGCGCATGCAGTTAAGGTGCCGGTAACGGCAAACCTTAATGCCAATATCCCCGGATTCTTACCAGTGCACTGCATTCATCAATTGCTCAAGTCACGGGCGTTCGCGAAACATCGAGTACCTATCAAGAATTGGATCTACCGACAGATCTGCGACAGCGTACCACCGCTGCATCCGGTGTTGCCTGCCTTGGTGGAGGTCTATGTCAACTCCATTCTTGTGACGAACACTAAGACGTCAGAACACACGAATAAGCCCATCACTGAGGACGAGATTCGCAGGGTGTTCCAGAACTGCGCGTTTGGCGCCAATTTCGACGTCAAGAAGAATTCCGTCAACACCATGCAGACGGACGAAAGCATAGATGTCGATACTACCAAACCGTCCCTCACCTCCCAGTTACTACTCTTGTATTATCTTCTGCAGTACGAAGACGTAAGGTTGGCAAATATGCATACCTTCATTTCCCAGGGAAGAAAGGTCAAGTCATACTCGGCGGACTTCCTCACCGAGCTGCCGATCAAATATTTGCTACAACTGGTCCAGCGCGATCAGATGAATTACGCCAGCCTGTTCTCGCCTCTTCTGCGACTATTGGCGACTCATTTCCCTCACTTATCCTTGGTGGACGACTGGCTGGACGATGAGATGATCAATATAGACTCAGGCATCGCGAGTTACGAGAACGTGAAAATCAATGACGCCGCGATCATCGAAGCGTTCGGCCATGTTAAGACTTGTCCCTCGAGAACGGGAAGACTGCTGAGGCAACTGATGACGCTAAAGCCGACTGAAATCTGGCCTCATGCTGAGATAATAATACATTATTTTAAGGATATTCTTGACGAACAGGTTCCCAGATACATACAAGGTAAGATTCTGACATACCCAAAAATTTATGTCAGAAACGTGCACTTATTAATCATGCACTAATCAAAACTTTATTTTTAATCTTAAATCTCTTGTGAAATTTTCAGAGCTCTATAAGCAAGTATGGCTCAGGCTTAATACTGTTTTACCACGTTGTCTATGGGTGTTATCTATAAACGCACTGTTAATAGAAAATGCAATCGTGAAAAGTGTTTTCTTAACACAAGATAATATCGTATTGGATCCACTGCAAGTACTGAGATGTGATACAAGAGTTTTCAGATGCGCGCCAATTTTAGCTGTAGTTCTTAGGTAAATCGATGTAATTGTATCATATAAGCAGCAAAAAATTACTCTTTATTAAAAAACAATAAATAAATAATAGTTATATTAATGACAAGTATTGAACTAACTGGAATTGTTTCACAATAGGATATTGCAAGCTACCCTAGCCGCGTCCCGATCTCAATTATCTAGACATATGCAGGACAAGCCTTTGACCGAAAAGATTGGACAGTTGACAAGTGAGACGGAAAGAGAAGACTTACGGATAGCTTTGGTGGCAGGTCAGGAAAGTGCAGCGGTGCAGATTTTATTAGAAGCGTGTCTGGAAACGAAGGAAGACAAACATGTTCCCGGACAAATGTGGTCTCTCAGAGAAATACGCAGTGTCGTGTGTTCGTACTTACACCAAGTATTTATAGCCGATCCTTCCTTGGCTAAATTGGTCCATTTTCAGGTATAGCGTCAATTTTCATATAAACATTACTATTACTGTTGTGTTATCAATTCTTCTATTATTTGTTACCCTATTATTTCTATATTGGTAACTGTCTAAGAGAGCACACAATTATTTATGACTAATTATAACTGTTATAATATTTTTATTTCCAGGGTTATCCACGGGAGTTATTGCAAATCACGGTTCCAGGAATTCCGTCCATGCATATATGTCTCGATTGGATCCCAGAATTATTGTCGCAACCTGAGCCGGAAAAACAAGTATTTGCGGTGGACTTGGCGTCGCATCTGGCGATCCAGTATGCTCTGCCGAAGACCTTGAGTGTTTGCCGACTAGCGATTAACACTTTAATAACGCTTTTGGGAGTATTACCCGCCGAAGAGCGGGTGGTCCTCTTCATACCAGTGTTAGAATCATTGACACGAATATGCCTGGCTTTCCCGCCGTTGGCTGAGGATATCACGGGCTTGCTGCTCCAACTTGGTAGAGTGAGCGCAGCTCAAGCCGCTCTGGGTGACAAATCGGCGGATTTGTTGTGCCGAGAAGTAAAAGGGACGTTTAGCAAGATGCTGAGTAAAGCTATACTGCAAACACGACTTTACTGACAAACTAAGGGACCTCGTAAACTGTACAAAGAATCATGTCAACTGTGTATAGAACTTGAAATTATATATACGTAAAATTTATGGTTATTATTATTATCATTTTGACTGATGACGCGGGAGAAGTAAGAAAATACATACTCTACATTTTTGCTAAGTGTATTGAAATAAAAAGATATGTCCAAAACGGACACACGAGAGGTAATGATCTGTATCCTTGTGTACAGTTATATATATGTGCATTAATGATGTCTAGTATACTTACGTTTAAATTTACAGTCTATTCATCCATTTATAAGTAAAAGTGATTGGAAAATGTATTAAAATGAACGTAACGTGACGTACGCTGTGCGCCAGAAACACAAGATGTTAATAGTGAACACTATTAACTCTTTGTGACCGTAGTGTGTCTTAACACAAGGTGTAACCAGAAATGTAAGAGTTTTCTAGAGTTATTTGAAAGTTCGAAGAATTGTTGGATCGCACGTTACAAGATATTTCGAACGTGGGCATATTGGATGCTATTAATGCACATCACTACAATGTACATTATTAATGAATCTTTTAAAATAGGGCAGTCAGTTTTAAGTTTTTTTTTTAACGAGAATCAAAAGTGAATTCTAAATATCCTTTATGCCACTGTTAGTCATCTGTAAGCGATTCTAACATTTTCTATTTGGTATATATTTTTTAAAAATTTTAATTATGTGACAATTAAGAAATGAAAAATAGATGTAGAAAACAATGATATCCGTTTCAATGGCCTTTGTGTCTCTTATAGAGACGAGCAATTTTCTCTTTTTGAGAAAAGTATATTTTTTATTTTAATATAAATGCTGCAATAATTGTGCAACAATAAAGAGAGACGTTATACCAGATGTATTTACAGTTTATTACATGTCTAGAACATAAACGATATAGGTCATGTTTTTTTTCTACATTCCCTTTCACATCTATGATACTTTGTCATGTTTTGAGTGTCATCGTTTCGTAACTCAACGCAGCATTCACGTAGAGATTACTGTACATCACACTTCTGCCGAAAGAAACGATTGCAGACTATCATTGAAATCATACTGTTACATAGAGTATTTATGTTATGCGTTTTATGCGACGCAATTACTACATAGTATATATTCACTTCGGTTGTATATATTCACTTCGAACACGTTATATATTCAGATCATACAGTCATAATATGTAAAGCCAAAATTGTGAGCTTATTCATTCTAACGAATTTAACATCAGGAGTTGCTTCAACACTTTGGTTTGACTTGTTTCTCGAATTTCACCTGCTAAGAACATCTCGTCCACAACAGTGTATACCTGAGAAACAATTATTATAATGAAATAATTAACCAATTAATTATCAAGACAATATGAATTAAGTAATCTGTACACACACAAATTAAAATTTAATTTATACCGAAATGCTAAATAGTTGCTATACTATTGGATTTATTTGCAACAAAGGTGTATAACTTTGATATAAATTATCAGAACAAGTAAAATACCTTGTAAAAATTAAACACTAGATCCAATTCACATACATTGTGAAAGTATTCATTTAGTACTTCTACAAAATTGTGAATTGCTTCCAAGTAACAGAGATTATTGTCGTTGACATCAACACAGATGCAGAAATATAACCCTGCATACCGCCTGTACACTATCTTGAAGTTGCGAAACTGAAACACACATTTATATAGTCATTGATTTACTTGTGCACTATAAAAAGAAAGATCATTCTTTTGTCAAACTTACCTCAACAAAATTTGTATGTTTTGCATCTCTGACAGTAACCACTGCATGAACTTCTTCTATCAACTTTTGCTTCTCATCATCATCAAAATTCATATACCACTTTGCTAACCTAGTCTTGCCAGCTCTGTTTTGTATGAGGATAAAACGTATCTGCAAAGTAAATGCAAGCAAATTGGAAAAGTCTGCGATTGAATAGAAATTACTAAGAAAATTGATCTTAAATTATAACTCTGTCTATCTTGTGTGATACACATTTCTCTACTATTAATTATTATAATGTTAATGAACATTTCCAGGCGTTCCTAACTGAATAGTTATTAAAAATCTTCTCAATTTTCTTCTTTGCAATTTTCACGACACATTCTTGATTTATTCATAATCAAATATTACATGTCAAGTCCAAACTTGTAAAAAAAAATGATTCAACCACCTGACGGAAATATCAAAACGTCTATTGAACGAAGTGACATAGAAGACTACATAATTCCTATTCGCGTTTTTATCATTAACGGAAAACATTGACTTATTTTACAATTATAGATTTCCACATACCATATTGGAAGTTGATCTAATCTGTCAGTTGGAGCAAGGAAATTTTAGTAAACATAAGATCGTATCAATTCCCCGCCCTCTGATCACGAACGTAACGATATTCACTTTGGCACAGAAAGGTGTACTTGTATGTAACACTGCAGCGCTTTCTTACGAACGAATTTGTAAACAACTTTACTGACGACTATCGATATTACTCAGATGGTAACAGTATTAAAATTACCGTTGTTACCAACATCCATCAAATGTCGATAACGTACAAGAACGTAATCAAGAGATATTGTGCTGTAGATTTTAAAATTATATCTACGTGGATTATTTGTATTGTCTACGTGATGTATATATAGTCTTTTCATTATATCTACGTGGATTGTTTGTATTGTCTACGTGATGTATATATAGTCTTTTCATGTAGACAGTTTATGAAAGAGATAAAAAATTGTTAATGAATAAAAATACTAAATACATATATCCGTAAAAATAAAAAAAAATATTAAAAGATATTCTCAGGTGAGATATACGAGAAATTTTTTGCTTGCAGAATTTTGCAAATGTTTGCAGAATATTAGGTTAAAATATCTTTGGGTTTCCCATCGCGCAATTACTTACTTTACCGCGACATAGCATAAAGAAAGAGAAAAAGAAGAGAAGAGAAAGAGAAAGAAACGAAAAAAGTAGAAATCAGTCGCATTAGATGTCTTTTACTCAATCGCAGCAAGTCTCGGGTACGTATGACGAAACACGAAAGAATCCATCGCGGTCGGTTGTTGGAGGACTTCATCGACATTATTATCTGAGTGATAATCCCGTCACGATGTCGCGGGACACAAATGAAGCGAGCAGGGACGAATCTACGCAGAACTTAGTAGGTCACAAGCTTCAGCCTCTCAGCTATCAATGTAACATCATTTTTAACTATAAACAGTAAAATGACGTTTTATTAAATGTCTCTGGACTACACTCCATCAGAGAATCAGGAAAAGAAACTCGTCCAATCGCGCTTGCAAAATATAAAAAAAACTGTGCTGTTACGTACATAACATGCGCTGTTACGTACATACTTCAACAAAATCTAAATGAACATTCTTTAACCAATCTAACTTAATTAGACTTTGATTTTAATCTTGAATTAATACTAATTCTTGAAGGTTTATAACTAATCTTGTCTTTAATTCTAGTGGATTTTTCCCTTTTTTTTATTTTTTATCGATAATAAACTTATCCTCCGTTCCTGGAGATGAGAGAGAAAGAGAGAGAAAAAAAGAGAGAAAGAGAGAGATTTCTCCGTCGTTAATTCGCCGTCGGTGCAGGCTTTTAGTCTATCCAATTTGTCGGCGATTGCGCGCGCCCGACTTGCAGCTCATTATCGGGCAGAGCGCAATCGTCGGGTCCTCGATTCCTCGAAGGAGGAATGAACGACCGGGTCGGATTGCACGACGTCGACGTCAAATATTAATTTCGCCTGGTGCACGCAGTATTTGCATTTAATTACCGCAGTTTGCGCAAATGCCATCTCTCTCCGTGCCCTCCTTCCCCATGCCGCCTTTCCTTTCCCGCACCTTTCTCCGCTGCCGCCGTTCTGGTCACATCCCTTTCTTTCTCTTCCCGACCGGTCTGTGTTCGTCTGTTATTACTCGAAGAGGATTTAATATCACCGGTTACGTAACGCTAAATCGGTGATTCGTCGTGGTGAAGCTCGGCCTGTGACCCGCTTGGGAGTTTTTATCTTCTACTCGCGATAGATTTCGGTGAAAATAGTTTAGAACTTCGCTCTCTATAAAAGATTGACACTTTCGATTGTGTTTATTGAGCGGCGAACAAGTATCGACGGTATTGGGAAAATTGTACATTTTAAACAAATTTTAACTCTTATTAATTCTTTTTAACTATTTTAAAATTTCAACTCTCTTATTATCTACCGTTATCTATGACAAAAAGTAACTCGTTATCGTGACTGTTATTTATTCAAAAAAAAACTCTTTTATCGTTATCTGAACTCGAGGAAACGTACCGTTGCGGTTTCCTTTGCCTTCTTCGTCAAATTTTCAAGATCTTTCCTTATGCCTTACGCATTTAGTCTAAACATATATATTATCTATAAGTAAGATAATATGCAAAGTAACAATAAAAGTAATTTCTAAGTAAGTATATTCTTTATTTTTATATTTATTTTGCAAAAAAGAAATAACTTGTAACTGGATATTTTCTATGTGTAAAAATAAAATGAATGTACAAAAAAATTGTTTTAAATACCTTGAAATTGATTCTTTCCTTTCTGTCGTTCTAATTACTACTTTTGGGAAACAATCATAGCTGTGTGCTTTTGCGAAAAAACGAACAAATCTAATCTAACTAAATAACTAAGGATCCGTTGCAGCGCAGTGGCTTTCTTCACTTTCGAAGTTATTGCGTGACGATCAGAAGAAAAAGGAAACTATATGAGTCATTCTCGAGAAGCGAATAATTGGAGTATCATAGATCACCGGCGCGTGTGATTTCTTTGGTGAACGTATACGGCTATCTCGTGGATTTTCCACTTTCGAGAGTAAATATCTTCTCTCACATGTGGCGAAAGGCACAACGGAGCCTCACGGAAAGGTGCCGATACGTAACGCGGCTATCACTTTCGTCGTCGACGCGACACAAAAGTGAGTAATCCCGCCTGTGCGGCTTCCACCGTATGAGGGAGATGAACGTGTGTGTGTGTGTATAGTCACGTTGCAAATTACTCATAATTCTACCTCTTTTGCATCACGGTGCTACTGTGCAATTCAAAGCCGTACACGTTCGTGCCGGACTGACGCGTAGGATAATAGAATCATGAATTGCCGCCTCGTCACGATCCAAACGATAATATTGGCCGACTTGTATCCTAACAATGTCGTCGTCGTCGTCGTCATCGCGGGGAAAATCTCGACCGGTCTCGGGGTCCTTTAAATTGCAAACATATTTATGACAGCGAGGCGATGACGCAATGAGATATTGCGTTTTCTTGCTCAGTTAACGCGATGATTGCGCGCCAAATGAATAAATTGCGCTCGAGTTACGCGATCGGACTCGAAAGAATGTATTGGCGTCCCGGTAACCACTGGATCTCGATCTTCATTATCGAGATCCGATTAATCACGAGGGAATAATTGCGAATTATTTAACATTAGATGAGCAGCGAGAATCGACTTTAGAATAGAATTAACGGAAGCCGCGAAGTGAATCGTAACATGACCGACGAGGAGGCGATTCCTCGCGGAGAAGTAAGTTCGTAGCGCGAAATGAAGTTTTTTTCTTTTCTTTTGTAAATAAATACTTTTCGATAAAATATCGGTCACGAGGGAGCCGCAATGAGAATCAGTTTTACATTTCTTTTTATCTCTCTTATGGAAATAAGAGATCTTATAGTGGGAAATTCTCATAGATGGGGATAGCGATAGGACGAAATAACGCACGCAGGTGTGAGCAAAGAATCTATATTCTTCAAACGACGGTTGAGCATTTGTCATATTCGTGTGGTACAATATAAACATTTCTTGAAATAATTTCTTGAAATAAAAAAGACACGAGGCTTCAGAACGCGCGCGATCTGAAACGTCAGCCGTGTAAAGTGACACGTGGAGGAAGACGTTCAGGTCGCGCTCGTTTCTCAAGCTTCCTCCAGCTTGGGCGATTCGATCTTTCGCGCAATTAGCGTTAGATACCGAAGAATTCGTACACGTTCGCCAAAGCTGAGAAAGATCGAGAATCGCCTCACCTGCGGAGGCCAGAAATGTGCGTAAAATGCGGATATGGCCGCGTTCCTCCTCATCTTTCGCTTCGCAACTGAAAATTTCATACGTAATACTACGTGATAATGATGGTACGTGATAAAAATAGCCATATCGTTTCAGGGAAACAAACATTAATCTCCCGCTAGAAAGATACGACGGGTAATATAACATCTCTATCAACCTCGATAAAGATAAAAATCCTTTATGGCGTCGCGCGATTTTTCGTCAAGTGTTTAAAAGTTTCCAAAATGTTGAACGAAAAGAGTGCACTTTGTAAAAAAGAAATTCGTCGAAACAACTCGAATCGGAATTGAAACGAACTCAATTTCAGGGCTGTACGTGGTGAACAAACTGATTAAAATCTTTCAGATCAAAATTTTCATGATCTCTTGATCTCTTGTGTAAAGCAAGTCTAGAATTCAGTTCAATGAGACTATCATAAAGCCGACACAATATATTATTGATCGTATTAGGTCTAGTTGCATCGACTAAATAAAGTGGCAAGCTAACAAACAATTAAAACACTTATTTTTGTTTATTTTGAAGGATTATGATTTAATTGTTAGTTAACTTACCACTCATTTGGGGCAACGGGGTCTTGATTGTTTGATTTGCTTAATCTTCCAACCAGAAGTAGAATTACTTATATTATACAGGCGTAAACCAATCTTTTGGCAGTTGAAAGGCCATTTGTATCGAAACTACGTTTTAATTAAGTTCTTGTCGGAGATTGAATTTTGCAGTTCGAATCCCTACGTCAGATTGTCGATCCGACTCGATTGTTATTCAATTTGACTCGATTGCAGTTTCTGCGACAAAACTTGCGCAACCCTGAGACTCAGTTCTCTTTGTCCGATCTTTCTTTTCACTGTAGAAGTTTATTGTTGTAATGACGCGCGGCCAATACGAGCCAACGCGACGTAGAATGAAGGACACAGACAAAATAAATCAAATTTCGCAGAACACGAGATCCGTAATCTACTACTACTGCTTCTTACTTCCTGTTTCCTTCGTCACGGACTTCGAATTCTGCGACACTCGATCCAATATATTTTACAGTCAAAAGTTACGTGCCGTCACTTCATATCGCGATTAGCTTTTGTATGTTTGATACGCAATTCACTCATTCACCTTGCCTCCGTTTCACAACGCGATCTGTTAATTTCATTGACCGTTGCGTATTATTAACCGCGTACCGGATGTCCTACGCGCATTGCGTTGTCGTACATTAAGCAATGTGCGTTGCGCGCACCGCGCTTATAAGCGTAGTAGTGTGAGCCGACGAGGAGTGTCCATTCGTTTGTTTTTTCGCGGCCAAATTTACATAATTTCGCAAAATGCAAATACACGTTTCTTCTCTATATAAATAATCATTACCAAAGGCACATCGATAAATTAGACGACGATAATTCACGAGGAGCCGCGAGCGGAATTAAACCGTCACACTGTCGTTACGACACACACACACACACACACATACATTATCTCTCTCTCTCTCTTTCGCGAGACGGTTCGTTGAATCTATAATTCTCGCTCGTCGCTCGCTCTTACGCAAAACACTGCCTGAGGGAGGAAAAAAAAATAAAAATAAAAATAGTTTTGAGCACGAAGGGTGAAACGCGGCAAGACTCGAGCCGGACGATTAGAACGTTTCGCGATTAACGCTCTTCCGGCTTCGCGATAATAAGTGAACGTACTAATAATAACAATTATAACCACATGTCAATTAATTACATATCTATGTGGGGTTGCAGACACTCGCGTAATATACATATTATTATTATTATTATATAGACGCATACAAAAATAAAATGCACATCATCTAGGGCACTCAGTTCACCTAAGCTAAAGGTAGAGAGGAGAGAGGAATGGAGAAATAAATTATCTGTCGCGCGATCACGAGACGATTTACGAGTGACCATTGTTATCTCAGGACGCTCTGGATCGTGCGACATTGCGGATCTATCGTGAGCGGGAGAGACGCGCGCGTGTATTACATATGTAGATACATACTGGTACAATACTGCGAATCTAGAACATGTAAGTACGTTTCACTATCTCGTGTCGGCTGCAACTAAGGGCTCTAACTCGAATTTTTGGTTGAATGTCGTCGCTTGCCGTGAATTGGCCCACGATATTGGCCCGACTGATGGACATGCATTGTTCTGGATGAAAAACGTGGAACCGAGATGTAAAAAGTGGGGCAATTTTTCGGGGCAACGAGATGAAACTGAAAAGCTCTAATTCCAAAATTCGAATATCTTCAGGCAGTCTCTCCCTTTCAAGATGCAACTTTCTCGAAATACCGAAAGCATACAATTGTTGCGAGAGCATTGCAACGTCGACAAAGATTTACTGAACGTTTGTCAAATTAATATTATTATTCCGAGAAAGCTGTATTTCGGCACACATTTTCTCGGCACTCGGACTTAATAAATTTTCCAGAATAATCGAACATTTTTTCGATATTTCGAGAAATTTGTATTTCGAAAGATTGCTTCGCCACTTGGCAAATTAATTTGCCCACTTGACAAATTTCAAGGATTTTAATTTTCAGGACAATCCGTATCCATCTCCCGATTCTCTCAATCGATCGACTCGGTAAACGCGACTCGATGCGGAATCTCGCTGCGCACTATCAGCGTGTGAATTCATGAGATATTATTATACGTAGTCTACTGAGGCATATCAATCTGAGGAATTATTTGCTTGCAAACGGCGATATCCGCGCGCTTCCTCGTAAACTTCGATTTTTCATCGTCCAACTTGGCTCGAGCTAGACAGTTTGTACTGTTTGCGTGAGCGAAGTCGTTTCTTCTTTAGCGCAGCGTAATCGTTCATGAATCATAAGTCAGTGAGACCAAATTATCTTCGTTGCATTCTCGCGGAGACTTTTTGATCATTTATCTTACTATCTTACGTATCTTTTGGGATTCTTGGGGTCTCTTGAGCAATTTTGGTTGAGACGATCGGGGGGAGTTGCGTTTTGGAAAATTCCTCTCGACCTTTTGTCTTCGCGTGATGCACAGGTGATACGCCGCCGATTGGCGAAATATTATAGACTAGGTAAGTATGTGTGTGTGTGATCATGTCAAACTTCTCGCCAGGGTCGGCCGGAGAGACCAGGCCGATGCGCGTTCCCCTTTCGCGAGCCGCGAAATCGCGATCCTCGCGCCGCATCGCAATCGGGATGGAACGACCCTTCGTTACGGTCGCTCGCCTAACAAATGACAACCGATTGTCGTGACTAAAGCAGTCCCTTTACCTCGTACTTGGACGCGCCGTGCCGGTCGGAATACGTGCCAAGGACACAATTGGAATACGTGCGGCGTGCGGTCGCAACGAGTTGCAGGAGCCTTGGCCTGATCTTCGGGGCTCGTTAACTCGTGATTCGCGCGCGTGTTTTCACGGAGAGAAACGGACAACAGAAAGGTACACTCCTTCTTCAACCTGTCGCACAAGAACTGCAATCGACTCGGTGATAAATAATTATAATAGACGAGGCACGACCTTAATTAACCGCGAAAATAAAGCTCTCTTAACGTTCGAGCGCGAATCAGATCTATCAATGTTGATATTCTTTACTAGCGCAATTCTTAAAAATGACTAAAATACTTCATCAACTTCATTTCCATTCTATTCTAGCGCGAATGGGACATTCGATTTGATTACATGCACACGGAAAAGAAAAGTTTGGTTAGATTAAAATCCAAAGGTTTGGTGAAATACGATCGAATCAGAAATTCTGATTGAAGTTATCATCAGAATTCTGCTCAAATTAACAAAATTTGTGATTAACTTGTACAGTTGCGAGTTCTGGCCAGTGAGAAATTTTCGTTAATCTGGACAGAATTCTGATAAGTTCAACCGGAATTTCTGATCCGCGCGCGCGCGCGTTTAGATTTTAGATATTTGATTAAATCGACCAAACTTTCTTTTCTCGTGAAGATTTGAAAATTTGAAACAATTAAAATGCTTAATGTGAGATAGATTGTTTAAATAATTTAGGGAAGGCAAGGAAGATGTGTGTGTGTGAAGGAGTAATGTATGAAATAAAAGCGACTATAGTAATAATTAAAAATAATGCACTTTCAGGAAGCGCGACGCGCAATATAGGAACACAATGTGTATACATATATATATACATATATAAGCTCAGACGTGATGAAATATAAAAACAAGTAACCGAGGCCGATGAGTAATGAGACGATAGGAATCCAATGACTTCTTGATGGAAGATTACGTACTCATAATCTACTAAAGAAAAGTCTATATTTATTTATAAAACACGCGATTGAAGTAGGGATATACGGCGGGGTAATCAAAGTCAGGAGAGCGATGTGGTCTCGATGCAATATTAATTCGACAATCATAGAAAAGTCATTGAAGAACGGCAGCTATCGATCGTATTCGTCGGAAAGCAATAGGCCTCGTCTCATTTGCTCGGCGGTCTCAATTATCTCGCTTTCGGGGCTTCTATTACTTTTACACTTCATCGCGCCGCCGTTATATAAATTCCTCTAATCGGGTTTCAGACATATGGCACCGGGAACGGAAATATATATGCTATATTTCCGCAGGATACAAAGAAGTAGTGCGATACGAGAGTATGGAATACGACGGGGAAGTGAGGCGCGAAGGATAGTCGATATCATGGTATACAGCTTCACAGCGTTCACGTCCGCATTGTCGTGCGACGTATTATCTAGGACGATGACTAGATAATATTCGGGAGAGAAGGGAAGTCGCGCTCTCGCAGATGACTGCGACTGTCACGTTCGCACAAAATATCTCAATTACCCCACTCGGTCGGAGCGCAGCAAAGCTTGCGACTCTTAGGTACCCTCGACGGACACGAATTCGATTCTTATTTTTCTCCGGAAATATGAGAGAGAGAAAGAGAGAGGAGACCTTTATGACACGCAGTGTAGCGATCCTGATAACTAAGCATGACTTGAATCTTAGCGCGAGAGAAATAGACAGAAAGAGAGAGAGGGGAGGAGAGAGAGAGAGAGAAAGAGAGAGAGGGGAAAAAGAATGAGATTCGCTCGATATTAATCGAGGGTGAAATTCACTGGTGCAGTTAAAGCGTAATTTGTCAAGTGCCACTTAAATGCCAAATAACAGCGCGATTAAGGCTGAACTTTCCGCTTGGAAACATCAGCTCCAAATTCACCGGAGAGTTGTTCGTCGGGAGAAAGTGCGCGATACCCGATACATCTTGCGAGATATTGTTACTTTGACCTGATTATACCGCGGATTGAATGTCGACGAGTACACGTGCACGTGGCAACTCGACGTCGGCCATAATGAGACTGCCGATTACACAAAGAGAATCCTCTTGGGGAGTCTCATGCAGCGAGCGCGATAGCGCGCGCTCCTCCTACACTAGAGCGTAAAAATACTGGACCGTATCCTACTGGTGCATTTAATGCTGCACACGCGGCTGTCCGATCACGCTCGGTACGGCACCAACACGGAGGATGTAGCTCGCCCGAGTGCAAGCTGAAAATTGAACGGACACGTCCGCTGCTGGATACGCGGCGGAAACACATACGGTCCGGTATCTACGACAGTCTAGTGTCACGGTATTATATATATACATGTATATATGAAAGAGAAAAGAAAATGAAAAGTCAAAGCCTGAAAAAAAGTTGCGAAATCTCTCCGCGAGGAATCTGTTCGACCTATTTCTCTATCTGCAAGAGATAGAGAAAGATATTCTTGGAAAAACGAGAAGCCACTCTACATTACAAGATCGTTACGCTAAAATAATTTCCGTACGATTTTACGTAATAATTAAAATACTTCTTTGGAATTCTCGAGGGAACGTAAGAGGGAGACCAGGATTCAGCCATGATACCTCGGCGATCCTTTCAGGATGTGAAGGTTGCCGCTCTCGTTCCGATCCCTGTGGGAAAAGGCAGAGTCGCGAGGTCATACAGCTCGCGCGGGTCGTATCGTAAAAATCTAAGCGGCGAAATCGTTCACGTCTCTCTCTCGTTTCGCGGTGCACACTCTTGCAATTACCACTCTCTGTGCGTGTCACCGAGTTCGCGCTTCGAGCGAAGTGTGTTCGATACACGCGTGCGTGTGCTTGAACGCACGCGTACTGTGTATGTATGTGACTACATGTGTGTATGTGTGTGTGGGCGTGTGTATACGCGCGTAGATGGCTGTCAGTGAAACGACGACTGGTTTCGCGAGCCAGCGTGTTAACCGGGCACTCGAGTCGCATTAGACGGTAACAATCGTACCACTTGGTTCATCAGGGTCAAGCGTAGGACCTTCGCCCGGCCTCGATTATCACTTGCACTTGCTCTTGCCGTCCAGCAGCTTCTTCCAGAGGTCGAACTGCTCGCTGTACTTGACCATGTGTATGCTGATGCCACGCTGGATGTTGCAGGCGGTGTACTGTATGCGCTTGTTGAGGAACTCGTTGGCGTGCGAGCGTCTGATGCCGAGCTTGTGCGCGACAATACCGGTCATAAACACATCCTCGAGCTTCAGGTACGTGTGGTCCAAGGCGGCGTCGTATAGCCGGCGCAACGTGTCGCTCGACAGCAAGTACGCCGGACCGGTGGTGAAGTCCGGGAAGACCGACTGCTGGAACTGCGCCTGCGACACGTAATACTTGCTCTTGCGGTTCCTGATGGGCTTCCACTTTCTGGCCAGGCGGCCGAATATCACGTTACGATCCTTCGCGTGTTTGTTCACAAAAGCGAGCAGCCGCGGCACATTGATGAACATGTCGTCGTCAGTCTTCAGTAGGTACTTCACCTTCGAACAGTAACTGTCCACCCACTCCAACGTCGAGATGGTCTTTAGTGTGAGATTCGAATATGAGTCGAGGAAGCGGCCGCGTATCATGTCGTTGTACATATATTGTTCCTTGCGCAAGATAGTCTCGATCTTGCGGTCGCTGGTGGTGCCGAGCATAAAGAGCACGCTCATGTCGCTACGCTGACCAAAGTGGCCCCAGGTCTGTCGGATCGCCGTCCTCGCGTCCAGGTGCGTCGGCGCGGACATCACGATTACGACCAGGTCCATGTCCTTGCCCAAGTTCGGACAACGCTCCGGGATCGGCACGGTGTGGCCGGCCTCGTATATGGCGCGCGCAGAATCGCTACGCACCACTATCGGCGATGACCTGGTCGCGTTGCTGACAGTAATCCTCACCGGCAGCACAGCCGGTTGCTTCTCGTTCGACTGCTTCGAGCTGATCGACATGCTCGCGGCGGAAGACGACGAGGAGGACGTCGACAGCGTCGTGATGAGAGTCGACAGATTATTCACGTTGTGTGCCGTAAACTGGCTTAAAGCCACGTTATCCAAGCTCGAATTCCTGGCCGTTCCTGTCGGCCGTAAGTCCGCGCTAAGATTCGTGTGCACGTGCGGCAGGCCTTCTTGGTACACGGAATGATCTGGAATTTATTGATTTTTTATCACAACTGGCTTTCTCAAAGTTGCATTCGATACAAATAATAAAAAAATGTTGAATATGATATGCAAAAATAGTTGCCAGTGCAATTTATCGTTAAATATTTTTAAGTGAAAGTAATATTTGATATTCTGACGACAAAAATGTAAAAAAATTCCTGTGAATCATTTATGAGATACTCATGAATGAATAAACACTACAAAGTTTCTTCTATACCGAGAAAAAAAGTATTTGACAAATAGTGAATATTTATTTTGTGAGTAATACATATTTATTGTATATGTGTAATACCAATATAAATTATTTTTCAAATAAAAAAATATACGTTTTTACAAAACTTTAAGAAGACTTTAGGTTTTCAGCAAAACAATTTACATAAAAGTTCTGTTTACATAAAAGAATTTAGATTTAAGTTATTGATGCTCTCACTGAGAAAAAATATTTATTATTTTTCAGACATTTTTTTTCTCTCTCTCAGTATATACCCAGACAGCACAAATGACTAAAAGATGTCTTAAAGATGTCGAAAAGATGTCCTACTTCTTTAAGATGTATTTTAGTAATTTGTGCTGTCTGGGTACAGTCTGTAGCCAATACAAATAAATCTTGGTGTCAGGTACTCACTGGTGTTTCGTGGCAGACTGAACTGGCGGACATCGTACACGGTGGTACGATAGTACGCATAGAAGGTGAGGCCGATCAGCGCGACGATCAGGGTCTGCAGAAGACGACTCCTGAGATGCAGGTGGTAAAACATGACGTTGGATGCGTCTCACGCTCTTGCTCTTGGTGTCGACGCGGTCAGTTCCTGAGGGGAGGCACGGACTATATCATCGCGCAGTGTGCGCCGACCTGACGACGGCCGTCGGCGTCGCTCCGTCGTGGACTCCGTCGCGGCTCGGAGCGCTGCGTGCTGGCCGACAGGTTATTCCCATACTGCGTGCAGCCACTCGTCGACTGCTACTCGATCGTTCGCTCGCTCGCTCGCTCGCTCGCTCACTCGCCCGTCCGTCCGTCCGTCTGCCCTCTCGCCTTTCCCTCGCTCCGGGGTTGCCGTGGACGACCGACCCTGACTGGCCCCGCGCGCGCGACCGAATGTCACTGGCCCGCTTCCGACGACGACCGAACGCTCAGCATCGTCTCACGCATTATGCAGTACGTGGTCGTGGCCGTCACGCTCGTCCGCTCGTACACCTTACCGTCGCACGTTGCTCCGCCGGCGGCTCCGAGGTGCGCCAGGTGACGTGAGGAGGATCAGCCGCCCGCAGCCGTCGCAGCTCCGACCTGACCATCGTATCGACACGACTGTCGCCAACGTATCCGCGCGCCCATCGCGCGACGCTTCTTCCCTTTCGTTGCGCGCGCGCGCGCGCGCTCCTTTTGATTCGCGACGCGGCCGCGAGATGGCGCCACGCGCCTCGTCGCTGACAAACACGCGCGATTTCAAACTGGCCGACTGAAAACCGGACCGACTGAACCCTCGGACTTTCGAAGCGTAAAGGCTGCGCTTGGAGACCTTTCCTTCCATTACTAGCCATGAGTTAACGAGGAGGTACAAATGAGCGAAGCTGTCATTACGATTGAGGTGATCGTTGAGTGAGAACAATCCTTGGAAATGATTCGAGTTGAAAGTTGAAATTTAAACCACGTAAAAGACGTCCTACTGTTTTTAGACATGTTTTGGAGATCTTTAAGACGTCTTTGAGACATGCATGTTGTGTGGGAAAGTGGGATGTTAATAAAAAAGTGTTTTATGTGGAATATCTAGATATATTGAAGAAATTTAGAATAGTTTCTCTTCGAGTCTCTCCTAAATGGATCATCTGCGAATTTATCATTATCTCGTATCAGATTGCTCACCGATGACGATGAGTTCACTTTGTATGCGTATCATCGTTCCAACCGTCGTTTATCCGACATATATCCGGTGACGCGCGATGGAAACCTTACAAAACGCTGAATGTTTTAACAGCATCATACTGTGCAAGAGGCATCGTCGTTACGTGCTTCAAATGCATTATTCGCGCTGATCGCTGCTTTAAAAGTGTCCCTTGACTTTATGGCTAATACTCGACACGTTTCGAGATTAGAATTTTATAATGAACGCCCTCGATAATGTGATTGCCTGCGCACTGCTAGGCATTCGGCTATTTCTGGAAAAAAAGTCGATCATCATGGTAGATAAAAAGTACTTGTCAATTTTTGTGTAAGAATTTATGAGGACGACTACATTGTCTTAAACTGATTAACGTGGAAAGTGAGATCTATATAAAGGTAAGCTAATCGATAATTCAGTAATATCTCGTATTATATTGAAGCGGGACGAGGTGTGTGTATTTTTGGATAAATATCCAAAAGCAGGCCACGTGAGTTTATCTCAAAAATCAGGCTGCATCGATAAGCGCGAGTCGAAATCGACGATTTAATAATTGCGAACAAAAATTACTCGGGGATCAATGAATTATCTGAAGGAGTTCGATGAACATTTCGAATAGAGCGGCTATACAAGCGACAGGACGCGAGAACTTATTGGTCTTGGATAAAACGATGCTGAAACTATTTCCCTGAGTTATACACAGAGAATTATTTCCTGTGCATGCTGGCAAGCTGGACGCGGTATCATATAGTGTCGAGGAAATTTCGGACGTGAGGAATGTCCGGTATATCGAGTTTCACATAGTTTGCCGTCCCCTCTGCCGTGTCGCCATTTGCTACTTGAGTTCATATTTATTATATCGTTTATCTTTTTCTTTTATACTGAAATTGAATGAAGCTCGCGTGCTCGCGAAAGAAGCTTTTTACTGAGAATCTGAGAATCACTAAGAAGTTAATGAACATTGCGTAAAGGTGCTTTTACTGCGATAGACCTCGCGTGCGAGAGAGGAATCGCTGCGTATAATATAATGTAAGAGTAAACATGCCCCCTCTCTCTCTCTCTCTCTCTCTCTCTCTCTCTCTCTCTCTCTTTTGCGCGCGCGCTTGTACTCCAGCAAGACAGGAGCCCGGTGATTTTCCTGGGCGATGCGTTCCCTACGACCCTGAATTATTAATAAAACGCCGGTACACAGATTATAAAGGTATACACAGTAACAACGTGCAGATACTCCCCATTTACTTTAATCACTGTGCAAATTAACTCGCGTATTTCTAGAGTGAACGCAAAATAGCGATGTACTAAATCCGTTTAATTTTCAAGAATGGCGAGAGAGAGAGGGAGAGGGAGGGAGGGAGGAAGGGAGGGAGGGAGAGAGAAGGGGGAGGGAGAGAGAGAGAGAGAGAGAGTCCTCTTCGAAGTTCTCATCTGAAATGTAACTTCGTTGCAACTTCAAAGTTGCAACGGGGATATTACCGAGAAGGCGTATCTCAGGCGGAAGTGCGCAAACTTAATGATAATATCTTGCGATGTGTTTTGCATGCGAAACAGATATATCTTCATTTTTCTTCTTTTTCAATCGATCGATGTGCATCACAAGATCGCGCGCGCGCGGTAAATAGGAACGTACTGTTAACATTGTGAGGCTCTGTTAAAAAAATTAAGAGTGTAGGTAAAAACATGCCGCAGATAATTAAAGAAAAAAAGGATCTCGTGCGGCATCTCTTTCTCATTCGTCTTGTTCCTTTGTTCATCACCTCGTTGGTCTCGCGTGACCAAAGTCAGCCGAAGCGTCAATCGGCGCCACTATAATCGGTAAATATACTCGAGTACCTCCTGGAACTAAGGACGTTAATAAAACTTGACACGGATTTGGCCTGTCCGTACGTGATTGTATATATATTTAACGATGCTCATCGTCAGCGGAAGGGTGAGAGAGGCGTCTCGGCTACGTGCACGAGATTTCCACTTTTCAGACGCGGATCTCTAATCCCTTGCCCTCTTGCACACTCCCCCTTTCCCTCTTCCTCCTCCTCCAACTTGCCTGCCTGCTTGACTACCCTCCTTTCGGATTCGGGGGGGTCGTAGTTATTACCAAGACCAAGGGGTTGATCGATAACCTATTTTTCCACGGCTGGCGTGGCGCCAGAATTCCTGGCGAGTGCTGCTGACTCTTTGACATCGCAAACACTGCAACCTCGTCCTCGGGGTAGGTCACGAATGTTTTCGAATCCAGACAAGGTTCCGCGGTGGTCGGAGTCAACCAAAACAGCAAGGCCGAGACTGACGGCCGAGGTGACCGCGTGAGCTTCCGCGTTCAGCGGCACCGGATTGTGTTCACGACAGCGGCAATCGATAGAATTCGATCCGACTCTGATGCCTGATGTCAACAGCTGTATGTGCACGTGCACACAGTGACATTGTCAAATGAATAGAACGAGACAAGTGCATTTAATTAAAAATATATTTGGCATTTAGAAGAGAAGAAATATTTTAGCAGTGAGAACCGATGAAATTTGATCTCTCACTTTCATCTCATGTTGACAGATAAATTTGCGGTCTTCTCTTTGTTGAAAAAATTCGTGGCGGAAGGAGGCGCATTTATAGTGGCGAATGTATGCGACATAAAAGCGCAAAGTTGCCGGCGTTGTCGTTGTCGGAAAACAAAGAGGGACGCGCCCGTTTTATTTGCGACGACCTGTACAACGCGATGCTATCCGCGTGATGAATGTGGAATCATAATTCACTCTGACGGTATAACGATGCATCGTTATCACGTCGGTGCATTTGGGAACCGACCGAAGCAGCGCCAAAGGTGCAACCATTCATTCCTAATTATTTGGATACTTTTTGAGACACGTGTCACGTGATAGCCGGAAAATATTGGAGACTCTTACGGAAGTTCGTCGGGCATTGTGCCATATGTTTTTATTAATCGTAACGAAACGTCAAATCTCTCCCATGTTCGATCAATCAAAGCATCTACCATTGTCATCAACCACTTTTTATCATCTTTCATACAATTGTTTAGTTCCATATTTGTAAAATCACTTATTTTCTGACTTATGCCGGGATTACGATCAACTTCATGTAACGGGACGCGACGGGACGTGAGATGACGCAAAACCTAAAACACGTTTTAAATGCGGTTAATTTCGACCAAATTTACGTAACGTGACGTAAAATTGTAATTTAAAACAAACCTCAAACGTCAAATTCACGTTATGTCACTTCACGTCCCATCGCGTCCCGTTACGTGAAGTTGATCGTAATTCCGGCACTAATAAATCTATACGATGTCCGACAATTAATGATATAATGATTGTGTGCAAGTAGAACTCATTAAATTGAACACAAAATTTCTCTACTATTTCGCAAAGAACCACGTAAAATTTATCAACTAAAGAAGACTGGTGAATGATTATTCGCATTACAGTGAATGAGTTCTGATGGCGACGTCTGCTGTCGCTGTGCTTGTACGCGAAGAAAACAACATCGTTAGTCTAATTGAATTTTGTCTTATCTGCGAACCAGATGAAAAGCTCGGTTGCAGGAACAGAAGGATTCCTGTAGGAAGTTTCTACACAGCCATCAGCTACCGAGACATCCCGTATACACGATCCGACTGAACTTTTACAAGTCTCTAATGCGAAAGTTAAAGCTGCGATATTAAAATACAAAATGTCGGAAGGAGGTAAGCGCGGTTAATTAAGGATACGTCTCGCGCTTAGAAGAGAACAATGTTCTAGCAGAGAGAACTGATAAAATTCTCTGACTCTCGTTTCATATGTTGACGGATGAATTTGCGGTCTTCTATTTGCTGAAAAAATTCGCGACGGTAGGCGCATTTAGCGCCAAATATACGTTATAAAAAGCGCAAAGCGATATTTTCCAAGTGCCAAATGAACATACCGTGTAGAATTTCCTGCGTTATTGACAAGCGACGCTTTCCCTGCAACTGGCACACCAAATTTTGCAACTCGACGATATCAATAATACTTTTTCCTACGCTTTCGGATTTAATGGCGTTTCCTTGTAAGCTCCCGCGATATTTCCGCGCGTATTTCTGCTTACTTGATCACGCGAGCAGCATCGGCCGCACAATATCGCCGCTACGAATCGGGGAGAGTGTGTACACCTCGCACCTCGTGTGTGTATTCGCGTATCCACGCTTGGAATTTATCTCGGAGCCCTCATCGATCGTATATTGCAAAGTTTCGCGATAAATGCCGCGAACCAAGTGGCGATGAATTTAACAACGCATGTGGGCGCACGTGGCATCGTTGCGACGATAAAGTGGCTCGGAACCACGTCTGATTGGTGCCCGGGCGTAACTACTAGCCTTTACTTATACATTTGGCCCGCTCAGTTCACTTCCGTAATTACATTAAAATTGCGCGCCATCGATATCGCCGCCTATTAATAAAATCAAATTTGCAACGTGAGTGCGACCGTGCCACAGCCATTATCGCCGCGCTAACCGTTTTTCAAGCTCAGCATAAAAATCGATGATGATTAGCCATTTGACTGATTGATTGACTAAAACCTGTCTCGGGATGTCAGTAATTTCATTCACGAAACGAGCAACGAACCCGTCGGCCGATTGCCCAGCTGCCTCATTGTTCGCTTTTTCGAGGTAACTTTCGACTCGCGCAAGTTCCGCGACCGCCAGAGAGTCAGGGATTTCTTTTAATGGCCACGGTAGCGTTCGTGGAACGATTACAAAGAGCCATTAGTCGCTACTTGTTGTGCGGGGCCGAAGTTGGCGTCGTTAATTTTAGCATTGGATCTGTCGCGGAACGTTTTCCCGTTCGTTTCCGCGATTATCCGCTACGCGACGCAACGCAGCGATGCTCGCTTTCATCGATTGAGATCACGATATGGAGGATCGTTGCAAATCTACTCCCGTCCCTTTTCTCCTTCCCCGCACTCTCTGGCAAAATTTTAACTCACTCCGCTCGCGACTAAAAGTTCACTGAGTGTTTTACGCTAGAAATAGCAACGGCAAATAAGCCATCGCTATCAAGGACGGAAATTCGATGATAAAAGCTGCTGCGTGCGCAGAAAATAATTGCACACTTGCCAAACCAGAACGAACTCAAGAGAGAATAGTTGATCAATAAAATAGACGAAATCGTCGAAATTAAATTCAAATTAAATTCAAATTCAGAATAATTGATTAATAAAATGACGAAATGGTCAGTAATTAAATTCAAAAATGGTTAAAGCTAGGTACTATTAATTCAAGCTATACTTGTGTTCTCAACGACTCGTATATTGATCGAATAACTAGAAAAAGCGTGTGCTCTTTCCATTAAACTCTTTTGCAGCTGCGAAACTTTTGAAATCAGTCAAGTGTGGACTCGTTAATTAATAAAGAATCTGCATAAGGTAACAAACTTATTTATCAGTCTTGCGACCGTGGCTGGCCTTCGGCTTTTTCAGACATAAGATCAATATAACCCAGGTTTCTCGTAACGTCAATGCACTCGTACATGGATAAGGGAAAAACGATCGATACGGCGTATATTTCTTTGATATCGAGTCACGCGAAGCGGTAAGAATAGACGCGATTTGCCTGGGTTAGATAAGCCAATAGCACGTTACGTCGTGTCGCACAAAGGCCCTGCCAGCCGGCGATAATTGAAAAAGTGAGTATCTTAAAACTAACAGTCGTATTTACACATATGACTGTGGAGCGATGAAATGTTTATCGGAAGATACATAATAGGTTAACGCTCTCTCTTTTTCTGTATATATAATATATATAATTTAGTTATCATATATACCTATACTTCAAAGTCGGGATATCCTGATCCGCAATACTTTGAGCGCAGTTTTATGCTTGGTCTCATTCTTTGTTAAATTTATTCACTTTAAAAAGGATATTCTCTGGGTTACATTCCAAAACGTTCTTTTTAAAGAAAATTTTATTCAATATTTATAATTCACGTAATTCACATATATACTATAGAATATCGAGTAAAATTTCCTCAAAAAGGATGTTTTGCAACGCAACTCTGGTAAATATCAGGCAATTTCGAGCAATCCCGTCTATTACCGGCATTTACGAGAGTGTCTTTTTTTTTTTTTGCAAGCGGACCTCCGTATGCAATTTATTGTCGAAGGACGTTTGACATATTTAACCTTCCCTCTCGTCCCTCAGCGAAAATTGTTCTAGAGAACTAAGAGAATTTTTCTGTCGCAATTATTGTAGACCTGCGAGAACGTCGGCGGTAAAAAACTGCTCGTTTCAGCATTCGGCGGTATGCTAATACACTTATGATCCCCCGACATTATCTTCTTCAAATAGATAATTATCATCTCTTCGTCTTCGTTCAAAGCTCCCCCGAAACAACTCCTGTGTTAGCAACCATGCAAGTCGCTACATACTAGTCGCTATCGCGTCTTCCCGACTCACGATTAGGCCCACTTGACCCAAAAACCCTCCGTCGGCGAGAGCACCGTTTCTCAAAGCAGGTCTCAAAGCGCGGCTTTCGAAAATCCGCCTGGGCACACGGACCGTGTCCGCGACGTAAGCCACCATTTTCCGGTGTGTCGGGTTTTCGGCCGAGGACGAGCGAGTGAGAATCGTACAGACGAATATCCCTCTGAGCGGTTAATCCTCGATTCCCTTTACTGACCCTGTCGCGGTTTCATCCCCTCCTGGCCACGACGCGACGCGCTTTTCCTCCCTCACCGCCGCCGCTGCCGCCGCGCTTTTCTTTTTCCTCTCGCTCAGGCGAGCGCGAGGAAAGCGACGAGAAGTCGCGCTGCGAGAATCTGCGTGCAGCGCGAAATGCTCAGCTGCTACGACGCGGACGGTCGCGCGCAGCCGATCGATGGCCCAGTGCCACTTCGCGCGCGCACCCCGCACCCCCGTCCTTGCCCACCCCGTCTGCCTCACCCCCGTTCGTCTCCTGCGCCCACCCTAACGATCTCTACCCTCACCCTGCGTCTCGTCGTGCCCCTCACCCCGGCGACGAGCGAGCCATCTCTCACCCTCTTCTCTTACTCGCCTCCGTCCCTCTTGCTGTCGGCGGGTTCACCCTCTGGCTTCATGTCGCGTCTTCTGTATCTCTCCTCTCCGTTTTCTGTCTCTCCTTCGCTCCGTCTCTCTTCCATCCGCGAGTCGCGTCTCGATATTGTGTTACGCATTCCTTATCTGTCGTTGACTCCACTCCTGGCGGGAGAGTTTTGGGTCGCGATCTCTCTCCCTGTCTTATGCATCCGGCGTCTGAGCTCTTTATTTCGATTCCAGCTATGCCGTTTGTCATTGTCCCTTCGTATTCCCTTTTGTCTCTATCTGGTGGCTCCTTTCCTTTGTGCATCAATGCACTAATCTTGAAAATATTCCTTTTAGCTACTCCGGTGCCGCGTGGCGTACGCTCTCTTAGAATTGCGAATGACTTCTTCTGATAAAAATCGACTTCTGGGCCCCTATTCTTGAAATAGTTGCGTATACGTAAGTTTTACTGCGCAGGTTTAATCATACCATAAAATAGCTGCGCAATGAAAATTACGTATGCATAAAAATTTCCAGGTTCGAAACTTTTGCTTAAAGTCTCGCCCTTTCAAAGTTTTCCACCCCATAATATGAGGCTGAAGGTTTCTGCCCCATAGATATCCCTCTTTCTTTTACGTTCTCCTTGACCATTCCAACGTCCATCAGCTTTCCTATCATCAGCTTCATTCAATTTTCCCGTCTTCGTTTCTCTTCTTTTCCTTCCTTTTGCACGTTCTCTCTCTCTCTCTCTCTCTCTCTCTTTCTCTCTTATTTTCATCCCCTCTCGTTTTTAATCCCTCTCCTCTCTACGCGCGAACGTCGCACAACGCTCGCCCTCGTCATCGTTGATCTAATCGCAGCCGTGATAGTGCTTTTTAGCTTCGGCTCTTTGCGAACTTAATAACATGAGCGCCGTTTCTCCTCTGCAACCACCGTTTGACCGCCGTAGATCTTTCCCCCCTGCACGCCCCCTTCACGATGCGCCAGCTAGTTATTACTGTGGCTCCCTCTCGCTTTGACGTTTCACTAACCCTCCCTCGCCCCTCTACCTTCCCTCCCTCTCGGGCCCAGCAACATCCCTCGCGTTTCTCTCATCATTTACCCTCTTCCTCTCATTCTCTCTCGCTCCTACGCTTCCTCACCTCTCTACCCCTCTGTCGCCATCCCCTTTCTCTTTTCCACCCCTGACCATACCACTTCCCCTTCTGCTGCCCCTACTCCCTTCCACCAGAACGGCAGTCGACAGAGCGGTCGCAGTTCGAACACGCCAGCTTGCGGATCACGAAGGGTCTGTCCGTCTGCCGCTTCCACCCTCGCAGGCGATTCCTCTTCTCGCTCCTTCGAGTGTCTCCGGCCTTTCTCTTTCTCTCACTTACTCACTCTCTCTTCCTCTCTCTCTTTCTCTCTCTCTTTCTTTCTCCTTCTCTCCTTGCAGTCTCCTTTCCTCCGGCTCCTCGCGTCAGTTCATACGGAGCGACGTTCACCACCGCCATAGCGCCGCTCGATCCTACTCTCCGAGTGGATACGGCGCGTTACCGATCAGACGGGCGGACAGACGGACCGTACCGCCGCCGCGGCGTTCGTCGTTCGTGGTGCCCTTCGTGTACGGCCCTCGCGAGTCTCACACCGCCGGCACAGAGCGGGATGGACCTTCCACAGACTAGGGAGTCGCGACCACGCACCGGTTGATAGGAGGTTAGTCAGATCCACACACTCGCTTTTACGGGTATAAGTTTCGCTTAAAGGCGAGCTTGCGGTCCTCTGAAGGGACAAACTACCGGAGAGAGAGCTTCTTCGAACCGAGTCCGAAAATCCGTCGACTACGAGACGGCGTGCGACACACCCAAGCCACGAAATGTGCACCTTCGAGAGTTGCCTAGGGCCAACGGCGAGCCTTCGAAGCCGCGTTCGACGCGCTAGATCAATAACCACGTCGCGAGGAAAAGCCGCTTGCTCGCTCGCGCACGCGGAAGCTTCTTGGTCGGCTTCAATAGCCTGCTTCAAGAGTCCGCTTCGTGAACCCTTCGCTCCCTTCTGGCAGCGTGTTCGGAGCGCGATCGTCACCGCGTCGCGTGATGTGTCGGCGTTCGTGTAGAGACGTGTCGTGATGACGGTAGACCGCAATTGACGAGGTACCAATCGGTCCACGTTGATCGACTGTGGTCTCCTTAGTATACCAATTTTTACTCAATAATCTATTAATTAATCCGGCCTAATCGACAGTAGTGGTTCCCAGTAGATGAGCTACTGACGACGGAGCTTGATTGATAATTTACTTAATTGATAATCATTGTTGCGATTGTCCTGAATCTGTTAGCTCTACTAGCTGATGTCTGCCGGCCGTCTATACGGCCCGCTAATTAGTCCTCTTGAAGCTTCTGTAAGCTCATTTCGAGCGGCGAGTTGGACGAGGAGGAAGTCGGAGTCCGCGTTGGCGAGCGAGGACAGACACACTGTCGCTAGCGATGGTGTGTCATGGTAAATCGAGGCGGCTATCGATTTTTTACGTGTGGCTCGTCGGCTTGAATGTCGAGGATGAGCGGAAACGTTGCGGTAGATATCGGCATCCGATGGATGCGAAAGCCGATCGAATCCGGCGGGATTAAGTTCCAATGCGAATTAAAGAGAGTCGAGTTCTATGAGCTAGCTTCGTCGCGAGTCTCGTCTGATCGAAACGTCCATATCGTGGTCCATCGAGTACTTTGCGATGCAAGGAAAAAATTAGCGCGCGTATGCTTCGATTGGTGCGCGCTGTGGAAATAAAACGACCGCGTGTTATAATAGAATTCTCTCTCTCTCTCTCCGTGTCGGCGATGGCGTAGAGTTTTCTCGCCTTTTCCGTCGAACTGCTTTCGCCCAGAACTCCTTCGTACAGAATTAAACGCGCGTACGAAGTGTCCCAGAATTCCCGATCTTATTTTTAGTGGAGGACTTCTTGACGAATTTGGGTTGCGATTTTCCTCGCGAATTATTTTTGTTGCTAGCCGCCGATTATTTTCGAATTCAGTAATTGAGAATAAAAGCAGAAGATGGATACGTTCGAAGTGTACTCTCTTCTAGTACTTTAATATTATTATTATTATTATTATTAACTTTATTCCAAGCAAAAGGCAAGGCATCCGCGAAAGGACTGTTTTGATCGCCCATACACGTTCGCCGATTGCCGAAATATTCAACGTAGCGTTGAACATTTCGCATTGAGTAACCAGACGTAGCCCAATCGATTCCAATTTCGTCCTGTGGTCCGTAATTAAAATTGCATTTGCGGATGCTGCCGTGCATCCTGACGTACAAATCCGATAGCTACCGCGAAATTATGCGAATACACATGTGGATTCTATTATCGACGGTCTCGCCGGCGTTATTATTAATATTAAATGCCATGAGCAGCGGTGTAAGTTTGCGCGGAGCGAGTCGGAGGCGAGTCAGATCGAAATCTCATAAGCCACGAACGATAGATCGCTGTTCCACATATTTCGGTGTACCTTATCTTTCGCCGAAAGTCCCATCGATCATACTACGGCCGATATGGACACGGTTCCTCTGCGCGCAGCGCACACGACACACACACACACGTCCAAAAATGGAAGCTGACACGTGCGGAACTTTTTCTTGCGGAATCAGTCCGTGTCCTTCGGGGCGGAATGAGATTTTTCCGCGCTGCTCCTCGTGAATGGTGCATCAGCGAAGGCATCGCCATTCATGCCGCTCACAAAACGACTTATCGACCATGCCGTAGGTGTATACATATGTATGGGTCGTGTTTCGACGCACGGGAAAATCCGCGTTTCCCCCGACATTTACCGCGGCGCGCGGTAATTCACGAGCAAGTGTAAGATTCAAATTGAATTTATGCGTTGGCTAATGTACGCGTTCGAAATCTCATTTATACTCGAAGCACTTCGTTCGCTCTGGTTGCTGTGTGAAGGCCGCGGTACGTATTCCAGATATTGTGCATTCGGTCGCGCGTGAGTCCTTCGCGATGAATTCGGAGTATGTTTTCTCAGGTAAAAATACACTAGATGGTACTCATCGAGGCAACGTTTCCAATTCTCAGCGATCGTTGCACCAGAGTGTGTGAGCAGGCTTCGAATAAAATTTCCGTCGAGATAAAATCGCGCCGAAATTAATGTTCATTCCACATTCTTGACACTCGGATGGCCGGGTGTCTTCATTATTTTTGTCGCTTGGAAATCATTTCTGTCCCCCGAGGGGAAAATTAAAACGGTCGTTATACTCCTCCAACTTTTTCTCTACGGCGCCTGCTGGGAAATAAGACACTGAGAAGTCATTTCTGCGCACTCTTAATATACCCGAGGCTCCGTGTATCAAACAGGCCGCTGCAACATCTGCTGTAATTATTGATGCAGCAAGACGAAATAATTTATTTCGAGGTAGAGCAAGAAAAATTCCGTCGGTCGTACGTGAACTCTTGCACATTGCGAGACAACATTCGTCGTGAAACGCTGTAATCTGGCATAACGCAATGTAGAGAGTGCGAGTGTATATGCTGGTAAATAGGACGGCGAAAATCAATATATTTATTCTTTCACACGGTTCGATACAGGTGGTACTCCATGACGTACCGGCTGAATCTTGATAAAAAGTGCGACCTCGCGTTGAAGGATAAAAATAATATCCAGGCGTTTTACGAGTAGGTCTAACTTTAACCTTCTTACTAACTGCCCTAACTGCGGTCCACGTAGAGATCCGGATATGTAACGAAGAACGGGAAGAGCGGCACACGCGCGGCGCCACCCTGAAAATAATCGTCCTCGCATATATTTTCGCGCGCTTAAAATAATGTTTCATCGTCCCGGTCTGTTTTCACTTTCGCGCCCCTCTTCCTCGCGATATCGTACGCACCGTGAAAACTATGCGAAAAAAGACCTCTATTTTTTTTCAACACATAGAAATAAAAAACGAACGTACGGAATATGTGAACGAAGGGTACTATGAAAACGCACGGTGGAAAAATACATTGCGAGAGAGAATGATAAATAAAAGGTAGACTTCCCGCTTGTGAAGACCGTTATGGAAATGGGATTGATAGAGGCGACGCGCGCTGCGATGATAAGTGGATCAATGAGCGCCATATTTAATAAATATAGATAAAGGAGCACATCATTATCAAGCTAAAAGCATCGGCATATGTCTAAGAATTCGATTGACACGCGATTTCCAATCATTAGCCGGAGGGCTTTCGACTGCACCAGAAATAATAACAAAATTTCTGACGAACAGCGCGCTTCTAAAAATAACGTAACTTGTTGTAAACACGACACGGGCATTGGAGTGGCTGTATTTAGCGCTGAATCAGCTCATTAGAACGGAAAGCTTATAATATTGATATTTATGTCGCCCTTAAAGTCACACCATCGGGAAATGTCGGGAGTCTCCGATGTGCGTGTCTTCGTTCGGACTTCCAGGCACAATAGGTGTTCTCTTCCCCGGAAATACAGGGAAACGCGATAAAATCGAGTCCGATTAATTGTCCATCGTAACAAGTCGTAACAATTATTTCGATCAATTAGTCAGATGATCAATCAGTGTGCTTCAATCGTTAATATTATTGAACGGTTAACGAACGGATCCCAGCGGCATGCAAAAAATGTGCATCGATGGCATGCCGGTAATTAGCGAAACTGAACGTTATGTAGCGTCGGTTATCGATCTCCTATAAGTTCCACGGACATATCGCGCATGAATCCTCGTACACAAGCGGCAGTATTTGACGATTAAAGCCCTAATTAATTGATGCATTTCAGGGGGAAGACGTTCGAGTCAATTTTATCGAACTCATTTTTCGATAGACACAAATTTATGTGCATCGAGGAAATAGGAGGAAAAAGAAAATATACTTTATGATTTTAATGACGAATTTTTCAACAAGTTTATAGTTTATTCATTACCGATTCATTGAACTTGAATCGATCTTATTTCTCTCTAGAAAGAACGGATGATATAAACTTAAAATATTTCAACCGAAAATATATTATTTTCACGGTAGCCCGATTGAAAGTATCGTAATTGGATTTTCGAGCATTTTTTCAGTCTCAATTATCCCTCAATGTCATTTTTCCATCGTAGTATGCCTCAGGAAAAAAATTTTGCAACTGTAATCTCCACATATATACAGGGTGTCTGACAATTATTGACACAGTCGATATATGTAACCAGAATTCATTAAACTGAACGCGAAATTTTTCTTTCCTACCATTTCTCAAGCAACTACGCAAACATTTTGAGTTATTAATTGAGGAAAATTTGTGATCATGCGCGATACGATAGCTGTGACGTCTACCTTCCCTCCGTCATGCATATTAAGTCAAACTGAATAAAAAAGTTTTCTACCATTTTGCAAATAAAACGGAGATTTTTATTTACTAATAAGAGAAGATTAGTGCATAATTATGCGCGATCATTCTTTTTAATAATTAATAAATGAAAATTTTATATGGTTGTTTGCGAAGTGAAAGAAAAGAATTCTGTGTGCAATTTGATGAGTTTTATCCGCACACAACGGATATGTCATGAATTGTCAGACACTTCTTATAATACTCTGGTATACTATTATAGTAGGGATATATTACCGCGTGCTGAACGGGAGATTATTGGAAAGAAAGCAAGGGTGAGGAACAATTTTTTTCGGAGAGAAATCACAACTTCGCGGTTGCATCACTTTTTCCGTCGATTCGCGCGTGTGCTCTTTTTTTTGACACACGAGACAGAGCGTGTAACGCGAGGCAGCGCGCGGTATATTAAGCCGCAGCTCGTTTCAGCTTGTACGCGAATCCGGCTTCGAGTCAATCTGGAAAATGTGCACCGACTGCACGCCGCTAATTACCAAAACCGAACGTTACTGCACAGCGCCGGTTATCGATCTTCGCGCGTATAAGTTTGGCGGAAATTTCGCGTCGCGGCTGCGGCGCAATCCTCCTGTGCCCCGAATCCTCCTGCTTCTCCACCACCACGACCACGACCACCACCACCACCTCCACCTCCTGCTCTTTCCCTTCCCCCTGCTCCCCGTGTGGTGCCGTTTCGAAACTTTTCCCCGTGGGGCGCGTTTACGTGATCCAATAAGTTAATCGCCCGTACCGGCGCCTATAGCGTTCGGCTGCGCTGCGCTTACATGCGGGATTAGTACCTAACTTGATAAACTCTGCCGTGTTACGTAAGCCGCTATCCGATCGTTTTCACCCTTAACGTCCCGACCTGCGGGATCGCTCATAATTCTTTGCCGTCGTTTCCATCATAGCCGAGCGTGTTATTTATGAGCGCTCAGAACATATATCCAGCTTCGAGTCGAGTTCCTGTCGGGCTCGATGATATCGATAGGGAACATCCTCGTGCTCCCCGGTGCGAAGGACACAGGAGGATACGAGATTGGACATAGTCCGCGATCATGTTCGCCCTTAACTCTTATCGACGTCTTTTTTTCCCGACGTCCAATCTTGTTCGCGAATGTTCTCGTTTCATGTTCAAGTCAATGTGTCGTTCGCGTCGAATAATTATGTTACGAGTATTCGTAATACAATCCTGCGAATTTTTTGTCGCGAAGGATACATATAGTGTATAATGGCATCGGAGAGGAAGATACGGATACGTAATATCGTCGTCTACAAAACTCGAAGCCAGAAATCCGAAGTTTGGTTCATAAAAACGAGTCAATCTCGCGTCCGACCGTTACATTTTCTCTCTGACGTAAGCTTCTGACCTTAACTCTAGATTATTATGGTTAACATCGTGGAGAAAAGGGAACATTACGGCGGCAACTCAATCGCGACATAGAAGGCTTATGTAACTGAACAGATTGGTAAGAAGCTTCAATTACTTACTTTCGTAATGAGTGGAAAAAGAAAAAAAGTCTGGACTACGAGCTAGAAAATGGAAGAATCTCGAAGAATATATCCTGTTATATCCTTCTTTTCTTTTGACTCGTTTTCTTTCATTTCGCAGCGTGAATGAATGTGTATTAAATTTCTGCCTTTCATTCGATATCACGGAGATTAATTCACGGAATATTAATTTAAAGTTACAATTAATTTTTTTAACCACTCGACACATATTTTTGCTGTTATGCGTGACTGCGCTTAAATTCCGATTATTGCGTTTTTAGTGGATAAAGTTCAGTGCGCGATGTGTTTTCACTTATTATATACCCAACTCATTATGTATTCGATAAATATGGTGTTTCTAGCGTGAGCTCGCCTCAGTTCTCACTTCAGCTATCAGTATACCCATATAATTCGCAATTATTCTTCGTAATACCAATCGCGTGAAGCGTGCGCGCATGTTTCGCGAGACGTTTCGCGATTCTCGCAGCGCAAATGACGCCGCAGTTGTTGCCCGCGATCGTTTCAACCTCGATGCCATTATCTGCATTATTTTAAATCCCTTTTGCGCTGGACGTTACTTTGCTATCGCTAAATATTCATCGTGCGCGCACGAGTGTACACGCGCGTGTCTGATAACGGCTACTACACAGTGCTCCGCCATCGAGTATCCGCGTTTTACGTCTCGCACGGAAGCGGTATTTCACTTTCCCGGCCGACGAATCGCGTCCTGTATCAACGTCGCCACGGAAACATTTGCATTTCTGGGTTAGGCATTAACACGCCCGTATACATGTGCCCCTTCGTACGCGAGCCGGGCGCGTATTATTACAATGCGTGACGATCACGCGAGGAAGCCGATTACGTGCCGACGAAGTCGGGCCGATTTTCGTCTGGAAATTGGACCGGAAATCACGCTGTGCCGATCAGATCGCCTTAATTATATCGTGTTGCATTCATTAGTAACATTATTCTATGGAGAGTATGCTTACTTTACTTCCTACTGCCATGAGTTTTCGCGCAATTCCTCCGTCTTATGACTTCTTGCACGTTATTACGCGACCCTCAAGATCGATGGCTTATTATTAATTCAGCAGTACTCGGAACTCTGATTTTCTACACGCTGGAGAGTCTCCATTGTTATCTGGCACAATGGTGATAAGGCAAGGTCCGAGATTTGGCTTTCGGAAATACGATGTGTGCCAATAACTCGCCAGGTAACAAAGGGTAAATCACCGCGCGGCGATTTCTAGATTCTCCCTAAGCTACGAGATGTAACGATTTCTTTCTCTGCTCACGCGATACTCGAAGAAATCTGCGATGTTCGTAGCGATGTGGGATCACGGCGAAGGAAGCGCATCTCCTCAGGTGCCTACACGATGTGGGGAAAATGTGAAACAGAAGATACATTGACGTTAGAATCCAGTGAGTTGCAATCCACACGCGATATCGGCGATTATCACTGAACTATTTTGCTCGAACGAGAAATTCAAAAAGTCCCTCGCAATTTCCCCGAATTTTTTCGACAGCCTTCGGCCTTCTTCTCGACTCTCTCCCCGATTTTCCAGCCCCGTGGCAACCCCGCTCGCTTGCCTGGCGTTAAACACGCGATGCGTGTCCGATGTGTGCACGCGTGCGTACACGAAGCGCGAGTGAATCGCGGATATAGCTTGAGAGAAAGGGAGAGAGAGAGAGAGAGAGAGAGAAAGAGGAGGAAGTGGAGAGAAGGACGAGCCAGAGACAATCGATATGTTTGCACTGTGACGGCCACGCACGTCTTTCTTCCGTTCCAGTTCGCTTCCTGCATTCGTCGGGCGCGCAGTATTGCACGCGGAAATCGATGATCGTGTCTGGAGAAATTCCAGACAACAGTCGCACCAACACACGCACGCACGCGCGCATACACACGCGTATACGCAGTCCGTACAAGTACGTTCTTCTCGAGGTAGAAGAAAAGGAACAGGTATGCTCTCACGTTCGCTGTCTCGCGCGCGCGGGCTCTCCTCTCTCACGTGCGCCGCGAGCTTCCTTCGTTCTGATTTCACTGGCCGGAAGTCGCTTATCGACGGCTTCTGCGCGGTTAAGTCCCACGGCTCCGGCGAGTTGTCGCCAACCAACTGAATTTCTTTCGTTCGCCCCGGCAGTAGGACTCTTTGCGCATTGACCGATCGCACTTGCCGCGCGTAACATCTTGTTAATCGGACGAGTCGCGAAAATTGCGCGAGATCCTTGAAGATTGGGGATATTGCTCGGGAATATATTGTATGAAAAACTGTTCTATACTCCGACCAGAGTTCGTGAAAGTTGAGAATTTGTGAAGATTGCCCGGTAACCTCTCGTACCGTCGTGGATGCATCCGTTTGACAAATGCAATGCGATGGAGAACAGACAACGCTGAGGAAGTGGGTCAAAAGTAAGATAGTGCCGGATAAATTGTTTTCGGATTGCGCTGCCTGCATGCGGACTTACGATAGAAATTAAGTTTGCCTCGACAAATTACTCAAGATTGCGAAGCCGAGGGCGATAAATTGACAGCAAGCGGAGTTAATAATTGCTCTATTAGTAATAAATTAGATTAATTAAAGAACCAATACTTACATATATCCAAGTGTGTCATTTTGACTGAATCTCTTACACGTTTCTTATCGTTTCAAGTTACATCATTTAATATGTTTAAATGTATTAAATTATAATTTAATGTATCTCAAATGTATTAAATAACGCGACTGGAAACCGTAAGAAACATGTAAAAAGAGCTTCAACTAAATTACACGCTTATGCATTTAAAAATGACACACTATTTGCAGTACACTAAGGCTGCGTTCTGGGAGACGCTATTTACCGCTGAGTGTGCTCTGTCCTTGTTTGTTCCTGAAAATTGAACAAGGACAAAGGACGCTCATAGCGCTAAATAGCGTCTCCCCGAACGCAGCTTAAGCCTCATGGCTGAAACATTTTTTATGTTATTTTATTTTCATTCGCAACAGTTGAAGGCTAAAAGCTTGACTTATCTTTCCGAGAAATTTTTATTAAAATTACGCAATAACCTCCGCTAGTTCTGGCTAATCCGCTTATCACACGTTAATTACCTTACGAGCGGTATAAGAACACTAGTGAAGGATCAATATATTCTCTCTGGTTTCATTTTAATTTTCTAACTTTTACGTAGAAACACAAATTACAGGTGATTTCTTCTTTCTTGAAATGTCTTTTGAATTAATTTGAAATGGGAAAACGTATCGTGCTGTATACGGAGAGAATTTTATAGAATAAAAATTTCATAATTAAATAATTTTATAGTAATTATAGTCATAATTTTAGGAATTCAAATACATTATTAAAAATTTACTACGTTTCCAGCGAAACTTGATATATTTCTAGTGAATTTTATTATGTTCCTTAGCAAAGTGAGTTTTAACTGACAATTTATTCCTGTGGACATATATATATATAGCAAAATTGGAAAGTGCTTTGAAAAAACTGAAAAAAATTGAAAAGAAAGGAAATTGTAATATTCTCTTTGTATATGTTAAAGTTGCGTAGGATGGAAAGCAATTAACAAGTGACGCTATTCGGCAAAATAATTCCTTTTGTCAGACGCGATGTGAAAAACGCTTCCCCGTTAATGTAACCAGGTCTGTAATGTGCGTTTCTATAGGCGATCTATTTTTCGTAGTACGTGTCTGCACACGTGTCAGTCTATTTAACCGCCGGAGAATGTTATACCATTGAGAGCGATCCGCTGGCATTTCCATCAACCCAGAGGCATCTTATATAGAACAAGATCTTCCGATGTAATTACGCCTATGCAGTGCGTACCGTCGGACAGCCGGGCAGCGAATATTAAATTAAGACTCATTCACCGATTAATTTAGAATTTGCACCGATTCGATGCAGATCGTCGTTATCGGCACTATTGATCGCTTTTCACACGCTGTTATACATTCTCATCTTGTTTTCGTGAAAGTTTATTTCAGGAACGTTATAATGTGAGTTCTCGATATCGTAGATGCGACATAATACAATATATATTTCATCGAGAGTAACAAACGTCAATTTTACGTCATTTAAGAAAGAATTATCTCTGGGAAATGTTCCAGATTCGCAGAAATATAATTTCAGAACAGAAAATGCATTTTCGCGAATTGAGATTAATAACTGACACACATACAAACGAATAGCGTTCTATTTTTTCCCTTAACGTTTCCATTTTAATTTTAACAGAGGCTTCACACGCGAAGCTTACCAATTCGGGAAACGAGTATTGAATATCGGAGAATCACGAGACATAACAATACCGCGTGATGTTATTCGCAAAAATCGATTTCAAAATTCGTCAAAGTATCGTCCATCCTTGAGATAGTCACTTGGTCTTGTCAGGTAGTCTCTACTATAGTCTCTACAAAAATAGAAATTCGTAATGGAATCTTACACAAAGCACGACTACGCCACATGTGCGCGAGGACAACACATTCGAAGATGTCACGCATTTTCACATATCGATGCGCATTTCCAATATTAGCTTGAAGGCAACTCCGAATGGAAGACAATTTAAATCACATGTGACGTATATCGCGCGAACGACCGCTACACAGTTGCAAATGTACATCAAAGAGCCGGTTCAATTATCGACTGGCTTGTATTGCGCGTATGGAGAGGTTAAATGCAATTAAGCTTTGCCACCCGCAGTCCACGATCCGTACGGCGCGAAATTGGAGAGTATTATACTGTCAGTGAATATACGGAAGGCGCATCGGAAAGGTCAACACAATCACTGGACAAAGTCTGCAGGCGAAAACTGCGTAGCCGTGTGGACTCTAGATTTTTAGTAGGTAGTATGTGCTTTTAATATATCGCCACGCGCATGAATTAAAGGTTACGGGAAAATTTTGGTCTCTGTTGCAATGAAATGCCGAAATACAAGAGAGAGAGAGAGAGAG